GGGGGGGGAAGGGAGTAGGAGGAGATGGGGGGAGTGGAGGCTAGATGGAGATTGGAGATGGGGCGAGAGAATGGTTGCTGACGAGAGTAGAGATCCTGGCTATCCGAAAGGGGATGTGGGCGGCCGTGGCCTCGCGTCTGCATACGCCTATGAGGGTGTATCCTTTTGAGAGCAGGGACGGGGTTGAGGAGCTGATGCTTTTTGGGAGTGTGAAGTATGTGATGAAGGATGGGAGGGGGACGGAGGTTGGTTTTTCTCTCTCATTTGTTCTGAGTTTTGGGTTTGGAGATTTGAGATTGGGGGGGTTTGGGTAGTTGTGAGTTGTTGGTTTGGTATTGGGTTTCGGGGAGATGTAATGGGAGAAGGAAGAAGGAGGTAGGAGGGAAGAGGAAAGAAGAAGGATGAAGTGTGAGAGAGAGAGAGAGCCGAGCTGATGCGATGTGAGCGATACTTAGGTTGAGTGGGCTGCGCGGGCGAACATAGTAAAGGAGGATGGGAAGTGGAAGATGGGCTTTTACCAGGTGTATTTGGTGAGTTGGATCGATTGCCCTGATTGCCCCCCTCAATCGGTGCTTGGGGAAGTCAGAAAAGTAGCTGGTCTGGCTGGCTGGCTGGCTGGATGGCTAACTTTGGATAGGACTCTGTTGCTATGCAGAGTGCAAAGTGAGAAAGAAGGTTGAGAAAAGATAACGAGAGCATCAAGTGCGTAGGAGGGCAAGACTGGGACACCTATAGACAGAATAGCGAGTTCCGGGCACAAATCATATATTCATCGAGTTCCAGTCGAAAAATGTGAGAGACACTTTGAAGATTGCTTGTTCTCGTGAGACCTTGTCCCGTACCAGAGCCTATTGTAATGTCGAGAGCTCGAACAGAAAATGAATGTCCTCGGTGTTCCCGTTGCGCATTCACCACCAGAGCGTCTAAATCATCCACCATCCTGCCATGTCCGTGAGAAAATGAGCCCTGTCGAGAGCACGTAACGAATTGGTTGGGAAATTTTATATGCAGCAGCATCCATACAGCCTTGCCAACGCCTCTTTTGAAAGCCCAAGAACGCCAGACCCCATCCGCCTTGATATTCCACGCAGCCCAAGTCCCCTCAGTCCGTATCCATGCCCTCGAACTCCTCCCCATCGTCCCCGTTGACGACCAGCACCTTCTGGCGAATCTTCTCCTTGCCAAACATCTTGCTCTTCTCGCGCGGCGCCTCGACCTCCTCGCCCAGCGCTTCGGCCGCCTCTCTCGCCTTGCGTACACTGGGCCGCTCCTTCGTGAGCAAGTGCTCGTTCTCGGCCACCAGCTTCCGGTCCATCTCGCGCTGGCGCTCCTTGTTGCCCGCCATGCGTTTTCGGTAGAACACGCGCTCGCGCTTCTGGCGAATCTCCGACACTCGTTCCATGGCGTTGAGGGTCGCGGCGATGTGCTCGCGGTTGTAGCGGATGGGGACGTTGCGGCGGGCGGCGAAGGTGAGCGTGCTGTCGACGACCATCTCCTTACCGGCGGACTTGCGGAAGGCTTTCGTCCACTTCAGCTTGCGCGGGTTGCGCTTCATTTTGAACTGTGCTGCTGGGTTAGTCTTTGCTGGGAGAGGGAGGGCTGTGGGATGGCAGGTTTTCGTACGTTCTTGTGGCATTTGGACCGGCAGAATCTGAAGATGCGGGCGTCGTTGCGGACGAATGTGATACCTTTCTGTAGAAGACAATCAGCATTGCGCATCGAGATATCTTCATCTCGAGTGACGATCCGCCTTCGAGAGGCTTACGAACCGAAGGGTAGCACGGCTGCGAGCAAAAGTAACAAGTTTCAATCCTCATGGTGGTGGGTTGCTGTCACTTAATGTTGTTCGAGGCTGTCCTTCCACCGAGATACCCTCTGTCTTCCTCCTCCAGGCCATCGAGAAATTTGTTAGCCGCTTGGCCCGATCATAGAAGGCGCTAGTCTACTCTGGGTCTACGGGCTGATCCGAGCTCCCCCAAAATTATATTGTCGGCTCTTTGCTTGGGGTCTGCCACGCAGTGAAAACCAACGACACAGAAACAACTGTACTACGACTTTCGAAAATACCTTGAAGGATTGCGCGATTCTGTGCATCATACAATCGAACAATGAGTTCTATCCTAGCCCTTGGAGCAGGCGTCGCCGTAGCAGCATTTCTCGTACAGCATCCCCCATCATGACCACGGGGAGAAGCACACATGTAACTAAACAAAACCTACAGGGCAGAGCAGGGCTGGTAGCACTGCGCCGATCGCGAGGAGAAGCCGTTGGCGCGCTCGGAAAGGCATACTACAAGGGTGGATTCGAGCCCAAGATGAACAAGAGAGAGGCGTCCCTCATCCTGCAACTCAGGTGCGCCACGCCCCCCGACTCCCCCCCCCCAAACAGAATTCTCAAGGCAGGGCTAAGCGGACTGGAAATTTTGACAGTGAGCGTCAACTCACCAGGGAGCGGATACGCAAGAACCACCGCACGCTCATGATGCTGAACCACCCTGACCGAGGCGGGAGTCCGTATCTGGCGACGAAAGTCAACGAAGCGAAGGAATTTCTCGAGAAGAACTCGTAACGCCACACCGCGAAGCTGGACGAGAGGAGGGAGAGAATTGTATATCACACTTGTAGGATTAACCGTAAGATATGTGAGATTTGGGCATCAGCGCTGGCGTTTAGCGGCATTTGGGTTTGGGGGTGGGTGATGGAGGCCTGGAAAGGGCGGATCTCTTCTCTGAAGGAAATCGAAATATAACAATCGGAGCTGTAAGTGCCTTTGCAGGTGAGAGATGAGATGTGAAAGCCAATGCTGATATTCAGACAAGGCGTGGGCGTTGCAATCTAAAGTCTGGCTGTGCGAAGATATGATGCTATAATATATTACGGCAAATGCAACGCTCTCCCTTTCCGTCCATCCATCAACCCCTGCCGACTCCGAGATGTATGCTCCAAATCGCAAGTGCGAGAATGCAGACTTTTACACTCTACTGGAGGCTGGCCGAGTTAAGGACGGTCCACTGGGGTGATCAGCGCGGGCTCTTGGGCTTCGGTGCAGTCCACTGCGAGAGTCAGCCATAGTCATTGACGAATATTTCATCATGACAGCCAGGAGTGAGTATTGTACTTGTACCTACACGGGAAGTATCCAAGTTACCCGCAGTACCGACCGGCTCCTTCGAGATGGAGGTATTCTTCATCAACGCCCCAAGTCTCTCCGTCTGCTTTGCAACCACTGGTGAGGTGGCCGTAAGTGCCGGCGCAGGACTTGGTGCAGAGCCCGAACGCCACTGTCCTCCTGCTCTACCATTTCTTGCCGTACCCTGTCGCCACTGGCTGGTTGTACTCGGTACCCAAGGTCCGCGCTGGCTGACGCTCGTCCAGCTGCTGTTGTTGGTAGTGGTACTGAGGGCAGAGGGTGGTGCTGTCGTCCACGGTCCTGCGTTTTGATTTCGGCGCTCGGATTGCGATTTCTTAACCTTAGGCTGGGAAGCGATAGGAATGGGGGCACCGCCATCGCTATTTTCTCCTCCGGAACTCCAGCCTTCTTCTTTCTCGACTGCGGCTTCTGTAGCTTCCTTTACGGACCTCCTTCATGTTAGTTCCTGCATGTCCGGACGGACTATTGGAGAAGTGCGTGCTTACTCCGTGATCCGGTCTCTCTTCTCCTTTTCCTTGACTTCTCGCTTCTTCTGCTTGTCGTCGATATGCTTGACTGCAATACCAATCATGGCCTGCAACGTATACGCAGCATCATTCCCCGCGTTATGCAGATTCCATCCGATAATGCCTAGCTCTGCGAGGATACTGGCTAGGTTGCGTGGATTCAGCTCTCGCTTGAGATATCTCCACATGACTGCGGTATCTGCCTGCTCCAATAAGTTTGGCAGGTTCGTAACATCATAGCCGATGGACTGCATGAAGTTGATATCAGCGCCCACATCGTGACCAACGAGGATTATGCTACGCTTGGGATGATCTTCATTGACGTCCGCAACTTCGGGACCCGAGAAAGGATGCTTGAAGCAGGATGCAATCAATTGTGGCGCATCCTTGAGACTGACGAATTCGCTGGTACTAGTCTCACATTAGCCTTCCAAGTTCTGAAGCCCATGAATTAACGTTGAACGCACCCAAACTCGAACTTGTCAGCGCATCCGTGGACAAACTCGAAATTGTTGAGATGCGCATGCTCGCTGATCCTGAAGTGCCGAGCACGAATCTTCTTCATCCAATCCGCTCCTCCCTCACCCGGAGGCAAAGAGGCGAGATCACTCGTATCCAGTGTCGCAACACCAATCTCCGTCACCTGTCTCGCATTGCGTTCATAAGCTTCAACATCCACGCACACAAAGACCACAGATCCCTCCCGCTGGTACAGCGCAGGCTTTCCAGCATCAAAGACCGCGGAAGGGGGAAGCTTCGCCAGAGCAGCTTTGACAGCGTCGTCGAACGCATCCCATCCCTGACCAGAAACTTGCGTGTTAGCTTTGATCTTGGCCTCGCGGACCGAGTTGGCTTCTCTCAGGCCCAGGTACCGCTGGACTCGCTTGATGGTGTGGTGCCAAGCTTGCTGCTTCTCGATCCGCTCTCGCTTTTGCTTCTCCTTGTTGGCGGTCTTCTTCCCCTTGGCAGCTTGGGTCATCAGCTCGATCTTGACGCGGAAGGCGGCGAGCGAGCGGTCGGACGGTGATCCGATGGCGCCGGGCTCACCATCCAGCTTATAGTAGTGAGGTGGGACGTTGTTTCTGAGACTCTCGGCCATCTTACTGTTGATGGAGAAGCCGAGGTAGCGCGGCTGGGGGTTACCGTCGTTGGCGAATGTGGCTTGGAAAGAGCCGTTTGCGCCGCCGGAAGGGACACTTAGATTTATGGAGAGGGCGTTGTTAATGCGGTCTAAGAATGCTGTAACTTGTCTAGTTGGGATAAGGAGGATGGGTTGGAGATTCAGATCTGTTGGTCCGCGGTATATGTAGAAGCTAGAATTTGGACGTTAACATGAAGTCTCTTGTCTTCAGGGGTGGAGTTGAGGAGATGAGTGTTGGTGAGAGGGGGAGAGATGTCTCGTCAGATGAAAAACTGCCCCGAACGGGCAACTAATCCCGCCCATGACTGAATAGTGAATGAAGTAGTGGAAATGACCCAAAGCGAACACTTACAAGTCCCAAGGCTCATCCATGATCTTGCCACCATCGAAGAAGCCTTCGCATACCTATTTCCTGTTAGCCCAGTCCAAAAAATGGCGACAAGAACACGAACATACCTTTTGCTTATTCGCCACCCCAATGTACAAATAAGGGTACTTTTTCAACGCCGCCCAAGGAACGAAGCTCTCTCCTTCCGGCGCCAGCTCTCCCGGCTCAAGGTCATACTGGATCAGCTCCTTTGACGGCTGACTTACACTCGACCCTAGCACAAAATCAGCAAACACCATTAAAAAAACAATACTCGGAAGAAAGCAAAACACACCCAGCTCCTCAGTAAGGCCAACAGATTTGGTGGCGGCAGCGGTAGCGCCACTACTCATACCCCGTCCGCTGGTGATATACTCATCCGACCCCGAGTCTGACTGCTGGTATCGTCGCTCCTGAGACTGCGGCGTTGATGGCTTCACCGCTTGCCCAGACAAGACGGCCAGCTTCTCGAATCGGTCCATATCTTCTAGCTGCTGTTTCCGCGTGCTCGTGCGTGGAGAGAAAGAGCTGTTGTGCAAAGGGGGAGAGACAGATTAGATTCCACGAGCTGGTGTGTGCTTTCCATATGCTAGAAACTTGCTGTATGCGAAAAAATAAATAAGGTGAACTTGGCTCTTAATAGAAAAGCTACGTTGGTCTTTGGTCAATAGAATATCTAGGCAAGCAGGGAATACTGGAAGTGAATGACAGCCGCCGTGTTTACAAGATAGGAGAAATCACCTTGGCAGGATCGATCCTGGAGTTCTGCCGACCGCGCCCCGATAGTTTCGACCTTTGATTTCAGTTAGGCAGCCACTTCATCAGAAATCATCTAAGTAAGCAGTGAAGTGAATTCCAAGTTTGATCTTGACAACAGCCGCGCAAATTACTGATAGCGTATGGGGTCTTAGCGAGGACTAACAAAATCGTGATTTCCATCCCAGCTCCTAGTTGTGGAGCCTCTAGTCATGTGATATGATTAGGTAAGATCCACTTGTACCGACACAACCAATTTTCTGCACCTTTCCGCGCCTGACCAAATTCGACAAGCCGATAAACCCTGAAAAATACCGTAAGGAAACTGTCCTACGAGGCTTTCCAGACCACTCGACAATAGAGTGAACCACTAATCCTCAACAGAAGAACCACGACAAGGATTTCAAGCACCAGACATCAACCCTCGAACCGACAAGACCGCCCCAAGTTGCTCCTAAACCACTGCCTTATGTCAAGCCGGATGCCCAAGGCAACAAATTAAACAGTAAGGGGAAGAAAAAAAAGACGGTTCAATAGGACGAATATGGAGAATCATAGCCGAGAGGCGAGATCAGTCAGTCAGTATTGAGGTAGACGAAACTGGACCGTACCACCTATTTCCTCAAGCATCGTTGCACCGGAAATGAGGAAACGACAGTATATATACTGGCGCTCTCCCTGAGCTGGGAAGAGACAACATAGAATTCATACAGCAAACCATACCTTTTGAAATACTCTTTGGAGACACGTGTTTTGCAAGACTGGATAGAGAGAAAGAAGTTCACAGCGGCGAACCACCACCTGCCTCTTTTCGTTCATAAGCCTCTTGTTCTCCCTCCGCTCTTCTGTTTCTAGGTCACCACTTTTTCAAGCGCCTCTCGGAATATTCAATCTCTTATTTCTCGGCTCTTTAGCTTCTGAGCGCCCTCGCAGATTTGCCCCTCCTTCCATTTGCTTCCCGATTTCAGGCACCCCTTCAATGAGCTCTTCCGATCAGCCTTGTCCCTCCTGAACAGGCTCTTTCCCCTCGAGAAGTCTTCTCTCGATCTAAAAATCCAAGGACAATTTAGCTCAGCACGTCTCTGTATCCCATGGAAGGTCTCGGGGCTGCAGGCTATCGCGAGCAACCGCCATACTTCCCGACTTCTTTTCCACCTCGATCACAAACACCAGTTCTCACGCTGATTAGATCCTAGTACGAAGAAAAATATCAGTCTGATCTGCAGTGTCAATACGGCATCTATAAACATGGCTGAATTCCTGGTTGCCCTAAGCGTACGGAGTTAAACGCACTTCTGCCAAGCTTTGCTACAGCGAGAATGGTGATGAAATCGACAGATAGTAAGTTGCAGAGGAATACCACGAGACCGACAGAGAAAAGTTCAACAGTAAAAATTCAGCGCCAACAACAACCGACCGGCAACTTAATAGAAACGCAACACCACCTGTTCCGGCAGTATATTTTCCACCTCTCAATCGAACCGCCATCATTCGACTACTACAACCACTTCTTTGAGCAATAACAACAACAAGCTGCAACAATAAGAAATTTGTACATAGTTGCCAGTGTCAGTTCCTATTCCTGACCTAGCTACATACATAGTGCTATTCGGGTGCTCGGTTAACGAGTCAAATGCTCGCTTACCGAGCATATACGCCCTGAACTTCTCGTTCAAAAGAAAGAAACCCCTTATCGAATACAATAAACACCAAAATTCAGGCCTTTGAAATTTGAAACCCCTAGCTTTGGCTACCGATCACCCCCCCTATGGAACTTCGGATCGCAGTGAAAGTAAATTGATCAGTTGCGGTCTACTTACGCGGAAGCCACTACATACATACAGACAGACCTCTTAAACTCAATGGAAGTGAACCAACAATTTCCGATCAGGGTAGCAAAAATATATTCAGCTGCGGGACTGCCAGCGCCTGACACTCTTCCCGACGTCAAAATCCAAGATAATCTAATCCCATCCCGTAAGCAAATCCTCATCTCGTACGTAGAGACTCGTAGAAGACTTCTTTGAATTCGCGCCACAGTCCGCGGATCGCTGTCTTCCTCTCCCCATTTGTTTTTTGTGGCTTTTTTCGACCTCAAAGAAAAATGTGGGTCGGCTCTATGCTGATCAGTGATGTAATTGATTCTATCTCTTCAGCCCGTCATAGAATACACCCTCTTCGATCCTTTATAAACTACCAGAACCCTAGGACTCGCGTGAGGATATCAGAAACAGCGTGCGATATCCTAATAATACCCCTACAAAGCCTTTTTTCCGAAAAACGCAAAGGCGGCAAAACATACTCGAATTCCCACAATGACTTCAAGCAAAGGTAAGACTGTGGCAAAAATCATCTGAAAACCAGAGTTTATACTAACCGAATCTGCAGGAAAACCTACCGACCCTGAGTTGAGGGAGGAGATCAAAGAGGGTAATACCAAGATCGCTATCCCTTCCATCTCCCATCATCCATCCACCATCCATCCTCCCAACTTTCCCTCCAGAGACGTATTTACTCACATCCCGCTTCCCACCCAGAAATCAAGCAAGAGCCCAACAAATCCGGCGGCGGTCAAGGCCAATGGTCCGCCTGGAAGGTACGCTACCCAACCTCCTCAGCCTTTCCCCCCTTGCCTTCCCCTGCTAGATACTCCGTTTGGGCCTCCGTGTAAATTGCAGAACATAAGCATTCGCCGTCGCAGTTGGATTTGAACGAGCAGCTGACGATGAGCGAAATCCTACGGAGTACAGGCGACGAAGCTCGCCAAGGAGTACGAGAAGCAAGGGGGCGATTACGAGGATGAGGCTGGGAGCAAGAACAAGGCGCAGAAGGGCGCGCCGGAGAAGAAGGAGTAGAGCTTCTCTTCTCCGGGTGGATATGGCTGGGCATGAAGACGCGCGTGAGAGAGAGGTCGGAGCAGTTGAGTAGATATTGTATCAGCGGGCTTCGAGCTTGAGATGTCGTGCTGAGAATGCCAGTAGGCATTCAATGTGATGCTTGCTTGCGATATATCTGTCCAAGCACGGCTAGGGCAGAGATTTGTGTCTGTTTTGTTGATCTGACTCTTCCCTCGAAAGCCTTTGAGAAGCTGTTGGAGAACCAAGGTTTCTCTGTCAAAGTCTCCTACTATACATCAAATGCGAATTCAAGAGTTCGCCCATCTAATGAATTGAAGCACATTGGTGTTCTTGGATCTGCAGTATTCTTGTCGGCTCAAGCCGAGGGTGGGATAGAGCATGTTTAGAGGGGTGGGGTAAGCTGCATAGCAACAAGTTGCCTTGCATTCATCGATGATATCGATCCGACGTCCGTCATCCTCTCGGGTCTTGACGCAGCTCATGTTGTGCCGTCAGACAGAAAATTTATAAACATTCTCATACAGATCGAATCGAAGAAGTACCCGACGACTTCATATATATGACTTCGACCGTCTCCGTTAAGCCGGACGTGATACATCGACCCGACGGAAAACATCCAACTCTCAATTCTCACGTTAACAGAATACTATATCAGTAGATCAAAAGTGGCTCCGACCGTGGTTTCAAAGATAGAGACAACTCTCAGCAGGGGAACGCTAGAGATCCCTCGAATGATCTCAGGACTTTGGCAGCTCGCAGGCGGCCATGACACAGCTGTCGACTTTGACGTAGCAGCAGCAGTAATGGACGCCTTGTCCGTAAAGCATACAATCCGTGTATCATACTCAAAACATACTGACCTCGTCTTATAGGGCGCATAGTGGACTGGGTGCTTTTGATATGGCAGATCACTATGGGGTTGCAGCTCAGTCTACTACGATGTCCTGTTCGCATCTCTGGGTGCAACTTCTCAGATACCATAGAGCTAACTCGTTATCGGTCATCATCAGAGAAACTCCCAGAGGGAGATCACTTCGTTCACCAAATGGTGTCCTATAGAGAACGGCATCAAGACCTTCAGACAGGCGTCGGATGCCGTTGATTTGGCATTATCGAGGTTGGGTTAGACGCAAGTGAGCCTGATGCAGGATCACATCTGGGACTGCACAGATGATACATATCTGCAAAACCTCTCATATCTACACAAACTTCAGAAAGAGGGTTAAATAGCGCATATTGGCTTAAGGAACACCGATGCTGCACACTTGGAGTTGCCTGTTAACTCCGGCTTTAGTATAGCTACCAACCAAGTCTCATGTTCTGTCATTGATCAACGCTTCGCTCGAGGTCGTCTTCGATCATCTCTACCGTACAGGAGAGTTCACTGGATATTCCGGGTGATTGTGGGGATGAGGATCGTCGGCCAGCGTTCCTGACTGCTCGAGAGATCTCAGTCATCACTTGACGGCAAGGGAAGAGAATGAAAATATTGCAAAGGCGGCTTTTGATCGTGTACGTATCGAGGATTCTTCTGGAAGCAAATGGTAACCTATAGTGGGACACTGTCGTGCGCTTCGTACTGGGAATACGATTCGGATATCAGGCACGACAGCAAATTCGAGCGTTTCCACAATACCTGTGGTTGGAGGATCGTTCGCTCGGAGTCAGACGGTGGCAATCATGGATATCATCGAGAAAGCTCTGCATAATGTGGGTGCATCTCTCTCGGGTATAGTGCAGACTCGGATCATGATATGGAATGAGCACGACTGTGAGCAAGTGAGTCTAGCGCATGGATGGGCGATGAAGTGTGCTGGCATTTGGCTTGCAAATACTTTGGTCGTTGCCGGCTTGATCGGGAAAATTTTCCCTGGTAGAGATAGAGGCGGAAGCAGAGACAGCTTCTTCAAAGCAGCGGAATCTGAGTTTTAGAAGAAAGAACCTCGTCTTGCACACAAGTCGTAGCTTCCAGCCCAACGAAAAATCATTGTAGCACTTCTCACCTGTCCTGAACGTTAGACATTGGAAACAGCCAAGTAATCTGGGTACCATTTCTACCAGTGAATCATCAATTGGAGTGAAGCTTCACACACAGCTCCGCGAGGTACTTAAGTATTCGATTCGCCGACAGCTTACTGCCCACAGTATTTTCACTTGCACAAAACACAACACCAGCAAAAGCACAATGTCAAACTCAACTACGCAACCGCAAGAGGAAGTCTCAGATCTGGCGGAACACATCAAGCAGCTCGACATCGAAATCTCCTTCGCCGCACGACGGTCATTGTCTGTCCCAGCCGGAAGCCGCCACCTCAGTCTCTCACCATACAGGCGAGTGATGAGCTTCTTAGACGAGTGGGAGGAGCAAACCAAGAACTCGAGTCCGGTACGCAGCGTCTACCCAGAGAACAGCGAGGGCGAATACGACGCTATGGGAGATAGTGAGAGCAGCGACTTCAAGCTGCCGCCGTCGATCGTTCAGGAGGAGGAGGAGAAGCTGGAACATGAACGGTGCAGGGTTCTTGGCATACTGAAGTGCTTCCTGTTCAATCTTGATAAGGGAACACTGCCGACGGGTGATGTGGTTGATGAAAGCTTGAAGGAGGCACTGGGGAGGTTGGTGGCTCTATCTGAAGCCCGTGATGCGCTTCCTGAGCAGGGGCCTGACTCTGAGGAGGTGGAGGGAGGTGGAGAGGACGAGGGCAGTGAGGAGCACTCGAACTCCAGTTCTGATGAGCAGATGCAGGTTGTGGAAATGGTGGAGGGATACATCCGTCTCGCATTGAGGCATCGTGGCGAGGTGTGTAGTGAGGTGGTCGACTTCGCCAAGAAGATACTGGGCTGGGCTCCTAGTGGTGATGCCAATGATGTGGCAGAATCGACTGAGGATAGCAAATACGGCGAGTCATTGGTTAGGTTTTAGTTGGATACATAGGTCTCAAACTGTAGAAGACGTTGATTTACTCGGTGTGTTAATAGTACTTGACTCTGAGTATCTCCGAAGTGCTTTCACGCTAACATGCATTAACGGAAATTCGGACTCATAACGTGAAAATAATACTGTAGTATTATTGGAGACCTGCCGATCTACTCCATGAGCTGGAGTCCATGAGCTGGAGGAGTGCATATGGAATCAGCTGTCAGGACTAGGCCGAATCCAAGATACAGTACTCCAAAACATATTGACACGCCAAATATCTCAACCATGCCTCATTTCTTTCAGACACAATACTGAAGCTATCATTAATAGTCGTATCTCGGTCTCTCTATATGGAAAATACCATGAGCTTGGTACTCTACTTGTCCACAACGAAAGTCACCGAACGAGGTTTCGCTCGCTCGTCGACGAGGTAGTATACCTACCTCGCTGCGAAACCTATTCTCGATATGTATCGACAAAAGCGACAAGACTAGATATATCCATGCCAATGATGACGACACCCGCTTCCGCCCTAAGCGCTCGACGGGTATCTGTTCAACTTTCTGATAAAGGATTGAAGGAGCAAACTCGGTTGGGCTAAAGATGTGGGTGGGCGGCTGGTGGCTGCTGCTCTAGAGTTCATTGCAAGACAGTTCAAAGGGGATTGGTCTGAGCAGCTTATAGAGAACGAATCTTTGCATCTGGATCGTGTGAGGAAGTGTGTGGGGGGGTTTAGGGGCCATGTCGCGGAGCATGAAGGGATCTATCTATCTTGGTACTGTAGTGGTAGTAGGTAGGTGCAGCTAGTACTGAAGTCGTCGAGTCCATAACGGAGGCCACGCAAAAGACTCTTGAGATGGTAGGGAAAGCTAGATGCAGAAACGCCGAGGTCAGGTATGGGACACGAGCGTTTCACGTAAAAGATAGGAAGATTAATAGCATTTGAAATTCAAATCAGAGCTCTCTCGTAAACACAAAGTGAAGTTTCTCTAGAAACTGTGATTTTCGCGCAACGAGAAGTAATTCGCTACACGGTTTGTAAGAATACAGATGTGAATTTGACATATACGGCCATATAAAAGATATAAGTACTAACAAGAATAGTGGCTTTTATTGAGTTCCAGATCAAGTATAAAATGAACAATCTCAAACAAAGCCCACTATCGATGCCTGCACTCATGGAAATCACCACCGAACCACCTACGTGTAACCCGTTCCACAACCTCTGGAGCCTGGTCTGATCGCCCTAATAGAGCAGTACTCAAGGGCACGAAGCACGCAAGATCAAGAGCTCCTCATCAACAGACGCATCGGCCTTGCCGCTTGATATATCTTCGCCATCGACGAAGACAACCTGCAGAGCACGCAATCCTACAGCCCAGACTCGGCGGGCGGCCTGGCCGAACTCCCGCACAGCAAGCCCTGGTCTCTCGAGACGACGGCTGCAGTCGCAGCGTACGCGCTGGAGAGAACTACCACAAGAAGGCAGGGATGGATCTATGGCTGGGCTCTCGACCTCCGCGTATAGAATCTCGTGCGGGACACGGTCGACGATCGAAGGGAGGCGCTCTGCCGAGCACGAGGCACAAAGGCAGCTTGCAGAGTTGAAGGTCTGCAGAGGGTGGATCTTGCGACGGCCCAGGGACGCGCTGTGCTACAGCTGGAGTTGTATGTACGGAGAGAAGGTGCGGAAGCGTAGTCAGGGACGGAGGACCCGTTTGGGAGCTTGTTGATGAGAGGGTTGTGGTTATGCTTGCGTTGGAGAGTCTTTTGGTGCAGGCTAGGCTGGTGGAGGTGGAGGTGGAAGCCTGCAGGGTAAGCAACTTCAGGTCTTTGCGCTTGGATAAATATTTGGAAGCAATACGGCGAAGCTGTCAAGTTATTACATTATTTTTCTGGTCGAGAAGACGAAGACGGGTGTCGAGCTTGGCGAGAATATCTGGCTGCAAAAAGATTCCAGGTCAAATCGTCGCTTATAAAGGTGGAGAAAAAACATAGAAACCAACGATTTTTGAACTATGAGATAGCGACCATCAGATCCTCTCTATTTTACACCCATCTTTATAGCATGTTTTTAAAAGATTCAAACTATCTTGTCTATATCATGCGTTTTTGATTTTGGTTTTGCACATCGGATGTCCTACGTCATAATACTGTGATTCACACGATGTTGAAGATTCACAGCTAAGATTTACGAAAAACTCGGTGTACATTCACAATGTTTGGCGAGAGCTGGAGCATTTAAGGAACCAAGATCCCCTTCGAGGCCTCTTCTTCTTCTTCCCCAAAACATTTCCAAAAACATTTTCTCCAACAACATTTCCAACAACACTACCAAGCACACTACCAAGAACAACACTACCAAGAACACTACCAACACTTGTTGTTATCAAAGTCCTGAGACTCAAGTGCACATTCATTCAAACAAACAAAACATGTCTTCAGTGCGCAGCCGCGCAAGCTCAACAACCTCAACTGGCTCAAGATGCTTGACAAGTACCGATACAAGCCAGCCTCTAGCTGAAGCCTTGGCCGAAGCTAGACATCAAATCGTTCTTGCTCGGTCGCTATCAAGGCCCCCAAGAGCAAGTCTGCTACCAATACAGCATGCGATCGAGCATGAGATGAAGGATGAGCGAAAAGGGAGGAGGGAGCGACGCAGCAGCATCAAAAATACAAAAGGATGCGTGTCTCTGCCAAGTGAGGAGAGTTCTCGAGGAGATGAAGAGGTCCTGATGGACGAGGGGAAGCAGAGACCCATGGAAGATGGGAATGTCGAAAGATCCGAGAGTGAGGCTCATACAAGCTCAGACATCGTCGTACTCGACGAGCTTGAAGGACAGGAGATGGTAGGCGACAATACATCAGTAGATGGTGGTGCGACATCCTTGGTTCGAGTCGAGGTACCTGAAGCCGAAGTCCTGGTTGCGGAACCGGATTTCACAGATATCTCGGCACTGCCAGAAGCCACCTCGCCTCTGCCTTCTATACGCAGACTCCAACTCAGCGCGCCTGCACATGAGTTCCCAGACCCAAGCGGGGAATTTTTGAGAACAATCCTCGCCGAGAACGACCTTTATGGCGAGCCAGAAAATGGCGATGTCTTCGACGACGAGCGGACTCTGGGTGATAAATACAATCGCTTCCGCTTCTCCTTGGTTTTTCGCGACCTGCACCAGCATGGTACGCCGGAACCAGAGGCCTTCGAGGAGTTTGAGATCCGCCGCCACCAAGCCTTCGCTGTCGCTGACAATCCTGACGGAGCCGAAAAACATGCTGAGATGATGGCATGGCTCATGGAGACGGCGCGGCGGGACGGGCTCGATGTCCGAGAGGGAAATGTGCTGATGTCTCTCTGGCGGGAGTTCTGGCTCACCCATGGCCACCTTGACTGCTACTACTCCCCACCGTCGCAACGGCTAGCTCAGTCGTTGTCTCCGGCTGCCTTGATGTTCTGGGTTGCATTGCGACGGGGTTGGGGTGGGTGGAGTCCCAGTAGCTCTATGCTGAGCAACTTCACCCGGTATTCTGGACTCAAGTCCGGAATTCAACACACAAAGGAATCTCGGCGTCACGGCTCGTGTTTGCAGGGCGGCCGGGGTTTGCAGGGCCGTGGAGTAGACCTACTTGATGGCATTTGGGCGAGTGGCCTGCCTCGGTGCGAGAGGGCAAGATTGTCGGATCTGCTCCTCAGCCTTCTTACAAACGATTGGAAGAGAGACTGGAGGATGAACGTGACCTTTGACAACTGGGTAGCACTTAGACCATTCATGGAGAGAAGCCGGGCGGCAGAGGAAGCGCATTTCTCCGAGAAGCAGCTGTACTGCGATAGATTGGAGAGAATGATGAGAGAAGAGAGTGTAATTAATTCGCGGATGGTCCTGCCCAGTCGTGTAAACTCACCAGAGGATTTGCAATTCCTCTGCGATGTAAGGGATTCAAGACAATTTCCTGCAAGAAAGGAGTAGGAGCAAGCATGTCGGACAATATTAGGGAAGGATATCGAGTGTATGTAGAAAAGGGCGATGTTTTTTAAATAGGGAGGCTTTACTGGGGAAGGATATTGAGTGCATGTAGAGAAGGGCCATGTTTTTAACCAGAGAGGCTTACCCTCTCCTAATGAACCACGAAGCTTTACTCGCAAAACCACGCGCCAGAGGCATGAAAGTGACACTTGTACCATTGCCAAACGGCTGATGAGGAAGGTTCTGAATTGTGATAGCACCCCAAGCAGACCCAATACCATTACAAAGACTCCCAACTCCACTGATGCAACCAAACCCGTCCATTTCAAACCCCTTAAGCCTTCTTACTCTTCAGCTTATCCTCAATGTCCTTCAGAATAGCGACTAAATCGGCCTCAGAGCCTTCCATTTCTAGCCCTCTGCTAATCCAGTCCTTCGCCTCGTTGAGCCTGCCCATCTCCATTAAACACCGTCCCTTTCTCCACCAGGCCTTCGCGTTCGCACCCTTCTTCGCCTCAATGCTGGCCTCCGCATCTATCGACCCCTCCGGCCAGTTCGACAGCGCCATATGCGCCTGCGCTCTATTCGCATACAAGCCTGCGACCTCGTCTCTCACCAATCCACAGGGCTCCCACAGGGGTCTTCCAAGCGCCATTTGCAGACCCAAAGTGTACATCTTGATGGCGTCGTTGTGCTTTCCTTGCTTGAACGAGGCATTGCCTGATTCGCGGAGCTTGGTGATTTGCGCTGAGCGTTTTGGATTGACTGGGACAGGTGGTGGGGGGATGGGCGACTCGATGGATAGGAGCGTCTTATGGAGCTCGTTCAAAGAAGAGAGTTGTTTGTTTAATGGGCGGGAGTTTGAGCTTGTAATGATTGCTTTCGAGGTTGGGTCGATTGTGATAGGGAGGAGGGTGAAGGTCTCAATATCCTCCATCTTGCTAGAGTAGGACTTCTCCTTGTTGGTGCTTTAGTCGCGAAGTTGGAAGTTTTGTTTGTTTTTCCAGGCGTGGCTAGTGGTTTCTGGATGTCTTGTCTGTGCGAACTGTTGAGATATGTTGAACAAAAAGGGAGTTGATGCTTGTAGTATGAGGCCTGTCACCAAAAGAATTGAGGCCAGCTTGCTTGCCCAAGGCTACACTAGGCCATTTCTGAATTCTGTCCCTACCCGCCGCCTTAACACGTGAGCGTTCAAGTCGCATTCATTTTGAGCCGGAGGTCATCTGACCATAATATCTCACCACTCCAGGCAACAGCCCGTCTATCTGACCGGACCAGAGTGTTCGTATAGCCAGACACAGCGACATTGATGGCCAGCGATCTCGCTAAACCGTTCTCATTAGGGTCAAGATGACTGAGATGATAACATGATCTTCATCTATGCAGCCTAAGACAGTGGGATATAGCAAGGGTGTAAGCCTGCTCCTGTGTCTACCATGAGCACGACTATAAAGAGAGGGCTCACTCTGCAAGTTTGGCCTCTCGTGTAAGTTATCAGGCCGAACCTTACAGGCTTATTTAAGTTACTACTTGGCCGGCAACGACAAATCACCTATTCGAATATCAAATATTTCATCATACATCAACACAATGTGCGGGATCTTGTCAGCCATCCACTTCGAATTGTACGAACTCTGGGACGCCGTCCTCGAAAAGATTGGAGGCGCCATGATTAAGGTCGGCCTCTAAGCTATCAACCTCCCTCCGAGGCCTGGCACATTACTCGAATCATCAGACTGAGCACCTCGAACAATCTCCTTTCTACACGAATACTCCACTCAAATGGCATGTTTGAGAGACTGTGAAAGCACTCTCCCGTTGCACAGCTTTCAACTCTCGAAGTTATGCCGCCACACTCTCTTGAGGTCATTGACCTGCCGGCTGAAGGAACCCTCTGCTCTGCGCTACAAACGCGTAAGACGCAAGAGAAGACGTCCGGACCTTGTGTATTTCTGGCTTTAGTGTACGGATGAATGAGGTGTCGAGAATCGCTGCTGTTTTCTGCAGTGAAGCTCGGAGTGTTGTGTGTCCTGAAGAGAGCTGGACCGGCGGACAAGCGCTCAAAGCCTACTTGATGACTGAGCGAGGGGATGCTTTGTTTCTGGAGTTCTGCGTTATTTTGAAAAAACAAGTACTGGCCCATGCTTCGTACTTTGGGACGCCCGCCGAGGGTGAGGATATTCAAATTACAGCGGCTTTTTTGCCGCTTTGCCTTATCGCACAAATCTATATAACGTATTTCTGTCTTTCTTTGAAACAATCAGTTCACTTTATTCTGTTTAGTTCTCATCGTTGCCAATCACCAGAATTCATTGGTATATGCTCCTGTCATAGTTCGTTTCATATGGCAGTCGAGGCTCGATTTCAATAAACATTCATGGTGCCTATTTCCTACTTCATAGAAATACCGATCAAAATCTTTTGAACTTCAAGGCTCCCCTAGATCCCAGTCACGGCGTCTAGATACTCTTTCTCACTTGAGCTCAGTTGGGGCCGATGCGTGTGTAGATTCTACATGACGGTATTCTTCGTGCGCGATATCGTGGATTTCCGTTTCATTGTCCAGCTGTCTGAGCATCTGTTTTTCCGTCGCAATAGCTTGCTGATCTTGGATTTCCTGCCCCTCGAAGACTGTTGTTGCCTGTCAGCTCAATACCACCCCAGTATTGTTCAAACGACTTACGGAATGCCAGTTCCTCCAGTGTCCGGTTATGCGTTTCAGGGAAGAAGAAATAGATGAACGCAACCTCAAACGCTACCCAGCAGCTAAATACAATGAGATACTTCCAGGCAATCGCATCGAGCGCGATAGGATTGACGAAGGTCGAGAAGAAGTTGGCACCTCTGCCGAAGAACTGGAACAGTGCGATGCCCCGGGTACGCTCTGCGTATGGGAAGAGTTCGACGAGATAGGCTATCAATCTTAGTCTACCTTCGCAAACGGAATCTTGGGATAATGGTGAGCTTACTGTACGTCAAGGAATTGTAACCAATATTGTACCACGGCGAATAGAGGAAGATGAAGAACAGCGCCATTATTCCCGCTGCATCATTTCTCGAACCCCCTTCCTGGTAAATCCCCATCGTCACCGTCCAGCCGACGTAGCAACAAGTCATGCCGATGGTGCAGATGAGGAACATTCTGCGACGAGGGAATCGAGTCACGATGAGCGCGATGGTCGTGGCGTTAACCAGACCCCAGCACTGGTTTCCCAAGTTGATTTGCTGTTTTCGGTTGCTGTCCTCGATGCCCAACAAGCCCATGATAGGCATCAGGTAGTATCTGGATTTCCGTCAATTTTCAATATCGACTATCTTTGGCATCAAGAAACCGGGCTTACGATATCAGGGTATTCCCACTCCACTGGGTGAAGAAGCCAAGCATCATTCCGATCAGTGTCCTCCTCCTCATACCGGCGGTACGGAACAGATCTAGATATGTCTGCTTTGATGCATCCATCTCTAGCCGAATCGTGGTCTCGATCTGCGCCATCTCGGCGCGCACGATGAGGCTGTTACGGTCGCCTTCGGCATGGTATTTGCAGAGGATATCCAAAGCCTCTTCGCGTCGTTCGGTACTGATCAAGTACCTTGGGCTTTCGGGGAGGAGACTGGTACCCCACCACCATCGAGATCAGCACTTTCCTGACTAGATCCATTCTCGATCCCTCAGAGAGAGTACACTGCGAAAATCGGAGGTGATCCTTACAATACCAGACATAACTGTACTGCCGAGGGCACCATCTGCAGATAACTCGGAATTCTCCACGCCCAATCATCCATGATATGATTCGTGCCCATCGTGATAGCAGCTGCCGTCACCGAGCCGATGAAATACGACGCGTTGAACAGCGCTGTGAGAAACGGCCGCTCTTTCGGGTAGCCGAGCTCACCCAGCATGGCCGAGCCGGAGATGATGCAGAAGGGGATGCCGAAGCCGAGGACCATTCGTGCCACGATGTACATGCCGACTAGACACTAGTATCAGCCACACTCTATGTAGCCTCATGGCAAGCACGGAGCCAGAGCAGATGTCACGGAGAGACGACATCAGAAGGGAGGGAGAAGTGAGGGGAGGGAGGAGGAAGAGACATGTATACTGTTCTTCGCCAGCCCTTGGATGATGGCGCCCACGATCGACACGGCGCTCCCGAAGAAGATGCTCCACCGTCGGCCAAACCACTGATTGAAGGTCGGCACGAACGGCAGCGCGCAGATGGCGCCCAGGGCATACGACGCCGCGATGATGCCCGCGATGGACGCCGTGAAGGTGCACGACGATGTCGCCTCCCCCTCCCCATCCACGACCTCGATGGCGCAGGTGCCGAAATCTGCACGTGGAAAAAAAAAAGTTAAAAATACATCTCATCACAGCCAGCCGGCTTTTCATCCCCATCCATCATCTCAAGAGCTCGAGAACAGATATAGCGTTGAGATTGAGGGTGAGTCAAGGTGTGGGAAACGAGGTGGGGGCGGGGGGGATGGGGGGGTAAAGTACACTGCTTCCAGGGCTCAATGCCTTGCAAGGCATTGATGAGCTGCGAGTCGAAGCCAGATGTGATCTCGATCCCCATGCACGTCGGGAAGAGCAGCAGGTATAGGTTCCTGAGGTTCTTCTTGCGGTACCAAGAGACTTTGTCTTCGGCCACGAGGCGGGTGACGACGGGGTCGCCTTCGTGGGCGCCGCCTGCTTCTGCTGCTGCTGCTGCTGCTACCATTTTTGTTGCTGCTGGTCCCGGGGAGCAAGCAAGCCAGTGTATTTACGAAAGGGGGTGGGGGGAGTATGTATATGTGTATGTATATTCCCGCGATGTAAATGGGGAAAGATGGCTCGGTTCTGCTGCAGCGGAAAGCTGAAGTTTGCAGTATGCTGGGAATGGAGATGCAGGTTGGAGTGGGGTCTGCTGATTTATCTATTTATCTATTCCTTTGTTGAATTTCTCCCCGTCGCTGCTACGCTCACTTACATTCCAAGCCGTGGGAGCGAAGCGAGCGGGCGGGCATCCATCCACGATCGCCAGCCGAACCATACATGCAGAGGAGGAGGAGGAGAAGGAGGAGGTGCAGGGTGCAGACTGGATAAATCTCTTCATGCTGCAGCCGCTTTTTGCAATAATCATCAGCAGCCTGTGTTTGGATTCAGATTGCGGACGTTACGCCACGCATGTAGTGTTGTCTGGAAGAGGAGTTGTGATGCTATCAAGTCCCGCTTCTCGGTATTTTCGCTGGGGATATGGGGGCTCGCTTGTTTGTTTGTTTTGTTTTGTTTGTTTGTTCAGGTGGTAGATGAGAAGTGGATGTGGATGTGGGCGGGCCCGTGGGCTTAGCCTGAATTCTGAAGCTGCGAGTCCGGGGAAATGGAGATTCCCCAGATTTTGGGGTTCGTATGATAATTCTTCCATACAGCAGGCAGTTTATACTCCATGGTACATGTGATACGTACGGAGGAGATGCCAGAGTAGGTAGGTAGGAAACGGGGTCTTCGTCATATATTCGTATATCCTCACAGCAGGCCCGATGTTTTCCCTTCACAGCATTACACAACATCACTTACTTGGCTTCCCTCGAGCTAGGAGAGCTTCCACTATCTGCGGAGTAGGGAAATCTATCTCCCTGAACGCACACGTGATCCGATACCCGCCACCAATGGATTAGCGAGTTGGTCTCGGAGTGAAATGGATGGTGAGGACTTCGTCGACGTAAGCTGTATATTTATGTATATATGGCTTCAATAGCCAAGTCACCCTCGGTTCGGAACTCTCGGCGGTATGTTTGATGTTCCATCGCAGTTCTGCTGCACTTCACGTCATCAATACCTAGGCTCTCGGGTGGTGGTACAAACCTCCCCTTCCCCCCCTTCTTGGGTGACACCAAGCCACCACCAACCAGCCGCTCCGGAATCTTCACCTCCCATAAATCATTGATTGGGTCCTGAGCGTGAAAAAGAAGTTTTGTTGCACGTCGTCGCCCCGCATCCCTACGGTGGGAATTGCAGATTAGGATGCACAACAGCATCAGACTTTCGAAGCGATTAGGCCTCTGTTCTGGGGATGCGTTATTGTTGTTGCAGGTCGTATCAGGCCAGAAGGGTTGATGACATATACGGAATGCTTCTGTACCGGTACCGGTAGTTGTAGATGAGACGAGAAAGAAAAGATCTGGACCAACTACCGGTAGTCTGCCTGTGTATGGGAGAACACCGCTTTGACGAAAGCGAGTGATAATCACATGATATGAGATTGGTATCACGTTTTTTCTTCTCTCGACGACGACGACGACATTGGTCTCGATTAGCGCAGGATGTTGATTGACGAATCGACTTTGTGTTGTCTCCGGATTCCAGAGTATGCGTTCTCTGGACATCACATTTACACCTTTCCTTCGTTCTCGCGCTTTTCCCACATTCAAGACCTGAAACCATGATGGGTCGTCGCTCAGATACTAACTACCGCCGCACGAGCACAATCTCGCAAAGCGATTGTCGAGAAAATGATTCTGTTGCACATCGCACCGGAGGACTTTCTCCTGAGAAGTGATGATTGATGGTGACTGTCTCCGGGCAATGGTAATCGGAGGAAGTCTCCTAGCGAAAGGAAAGGAAAGGAAAGGAAAGGAAAAGGAGGCCGGCTTGCCTTGCCCCTAGAGTATAGAAGGCTGCGCGCATGGTGGCATGGGGTTGAGGGGAGGTCGAAAGCATTTTATAAACGGCTGGCTACCTCGATCCTCGACAAGAAATACTGCGTGGCTTGATGAGAGGTCTGAATGAAAACTGCTTGCGTGCCTGGTCTGGTAGAGCAGGAATGGACGGCCACAAAGCACGAGTATTGATTCCAGCACGTGCTAAGAACGTGAGCAGACGATGTCTCTACGAAGTAAGCAGGCAGGCATTCCTTGCCCACTGCATTCCTACATAGCAAAGAGCTGAGTTCGTCTGAACTTCGTTGATCCCAAGTCAAGAAAGGACTCGCTCGGATCGCGAAAGATACCGGCTCGTTCAGCTTTCGGCAGTGATCGAACTCAATTTTATGGATTCAGCGACCAAGAGAATTCAAGAGAAGCAAGCATACTCCATAGACTCCTGAAGATTATTTGCGGGAGGAAAAACGGGAAATATGAATATAGCACGTGTTGAGATGTGGAACATATTTATTGCTTAAATCAACATTTTAGCCGACATTTACCGACCTCCATCTATGTCGCTTCGCCCTGCTACCTCTGCGTTCATCATCAACAGAGGACAATCACGGTTCGTATGATAAAGTGTACGAAATGCAACGAATTTTCATCCGTCTTTCGATTCTCGAGGAATATCAAAGTCTAAAAAGGTGGTGATTCGGAAAAGGCTGCACGCCATCCTTCTTCTACTTCAGGCTGTCAGATCCATGAGGCCACAAATGCCGGGCTGGTTTGTTCAGTCAACCGCTGTACGAAGCCCACAATAAAAACACCTAGGGACAGCAAAGCCTCGGGCCTGTCTCGGTCAGATTGCTGCTGATCTCTTTGGTCCTGCCAGGAGCCGCGCCTGACGTCGCTTTGCAGAGGACGGATGGGATAGCACCATCGAGGAGAAAATGGGGGACCCCACCGGAGAACAGCCCCTACGTATCAGAAAAGGGGGTCCTGGAGATGTATCCATCTTGTCGGAGTGCAGCGGTGGTGGTGGTGGTATTGGTGTTGTTGTTGTTTTTTTTCACCTCTGCTCGGTTTTGGTGGCAGCTAGCCGGCTGTGTTGAGCTGGCTCACGAGAGCTCGACAGGATCACCACAAATGGACTCCTCCCATGCGGCTCAAACACATAAGCAACGAGCTTGTCGCTTGTCCCGCCTTCTCCAGTCTTCAATTCACGACTCACACCTTGTCCCTCAATCCCCGCACCCCACCATGATGACGTTTTTACGTGGGCCATTACAGTACCCGTATGCAGCTCGCTTCGTCGCAAGTAGTAAGATCCTTCTTCCCTGCTTCTCTTCTTCTCTGCCACCCACAACCACAACCACATCCACATCCACATCCCAAAGTCGATCCAATTATCACTGGATGGGAGATGGGACCCGACACCGCTCTCCGAGCACAATCCTCATATCGACCTCGTTATGCAGATCTCTCGACTGAACTGCAGAAGCATAAGCCGTCGCCCCGGAGTCAGGGCGAAACAGGATGGATTACCTGTTTTCATAAATCATGGATCCTCGAGATAAACAAAGCTGTGGGTCAGATTTTCAGGGTGTTGGTGCTGTTGAGCAGCTTGTACTAGAGTTTGGATGAGTACAAGTGATCCTCCTTCTCTTCTTCTTTATCTTCCCCTCCATCTCACTCTTCTTTTCCCGCCCAGTTCCCAGCTCACTAGCCTCTCGAATCTCCTCCTTCCAACCGGCATTATGGAAGAACAAGTTTCTCGAGCAGGACGCGCTGGTAGCGTATCTACCGTGAAGACTTATGCCGGTCTTATGGGCCGCCCTCTGGGCCTTCTACTATCGACTATTGCCACAACAGGTTTTCTTCTCTTCGGTTATGATCAAGGTGTCATGTCTGGTATCATTTCCGCCGACCCTTTCAACAATTACTTCCCAGAGACCAGGGATAACTCGGTCTATCAAGGATTCGTCACGGCCATCTATGAGGTTGGATGCTTACTCGGTGCTGTCTTTATTCTGGCATTCGGAGACAGGACTGGTCGCAGAAAGGCTGTAGGTACAACTCTATTCTGCTTTCCAGGACGTCGCTTATGGCCTACAGATGATGCTCGGTGGAATAATCATGATCCTCGGGGTCATCATCCAAGTTACAGCCGTGAAGGGACATAATGCCACTGCCCAGCTCATTATTGGCCGGACCATAACGGGCATTGGCAATGGCATCAATACCTCGACGATTCCAACGTATCAGGCCGAGTGTAGTCGGACGACCAACCGTGGTCTACTCATCTGTATTGAAGGCGGAATCATCGCCTTCGGAACCATGATCGCCTACTGGATCGATTACGGCGCTTCATATGGCCCAGACAACTTGACCTGGAGGTTCCCCATCGCTTTCCAAGTGATCTTTGGCGTAATCCTCATTGTCGGAGTCTGGTTCCTCCCAGAATCCCCGAGATGGCTCATCACCAAGGATCGCCATGAGGACGCAATCGACGTTATTGCCGCGCTTAGCGGTCTCGAGACCACTGATCAGGAAGTCACTCTTCAGCACTCCTTGATCCTTGATGGAATCAAGGCCAGTGGCCATGCGGGTGGCTCTGTCCCTTACTCTGCCCTGTTCACCGGCGGCAAAACTCAGCATTTCCGCCGTATTCTATTAGGGGCCTCGTCACAGTTCTTCCAACAACTCGGTGGTTGCAATGCTGTTATCTACTACTTCCCCATTCTGTTCCAATCTGCCATTGGTACCTCGCACAATCTCGCTCTGCTGTTGGGAGGAGTAAACATGATCGTCTACTCCATCTCAGCGACAGTCTCCTGGTTCATTATCGAGCGTGCCGGTCGCCGCAAGCTCTTCCTCTACGGGACTGTTGGACAATGCCTGTCCATGGTTCTCATCTTCGCCTGCCTGATTCCAGACGATGGGAAAGGCCCATCAGCGAAGGGAGCTGGTGTCGGATTATTCACCTACATCATGTTCTTCGGTGCCACTTGGCTGCCTCTCCCTTGGTTGTACCCCGCCGAGATCAACCCCCTACGCACCAGAGCGAAAGCAAACGCCGTCTCCACCATCACCAACTGGCTATTCAACTTTCTGATCGTTATGGTCGTTCCCGTCATGATCGACCAGATCAAATGGGGCACGTATCTCTTCTTCGCCGTCGTCAACGCCTGTTTCATCCCTATCATCTACATCTTCTACCCTGAGACTAAAAAGCGTTCGCTCGAGGAGATTGATTTGATCTTCGCGAAGGGCTACATGGAGAATATCTCTTACGTCAAGGCATCTTTCGATATGCCTTTCTTGACCGACAGAGAGATCGAGGCGATGGCCAGGCAATATGGGTTCATCGACCGTGACGAGGAGACCAAGGCTGGCGGCTCTGGTGCTGATCTCGCCGAGTCGGATGAAAAGGCTACTATAAGGGATCGCAGCAACATTAGAAGCAACAGGAGCCTGCAGATGCATGACGATACTGAGGGGGGTTTCCGTAACGATTAAGTGAGCGGGCTCGCTCTCTTGATTTTCGGAATCACACATCGGCAATGAAGCATATTTCAATGCTAGACTTATACAGATTCCCAATGAAGGGCAGTAGGGGAACCAGGTGATGCTGGTGCATCGCGCTCTGGTCGAGAGTTCTCCAAGGACATGTATTTAGAAGAGGTGAAGCTCAAAGCCTCATGAGGCCTCACGTTGAAAGAGTTTGAGTCATTGATTGGAATATTTGCTTCCATTGACTAGACACAGAGCTAGGGAGATACTGCAGCAGAAATTTTATCTCTCAGGCCCCCTATATCGCATACTATGATTGTCTTCGAAGCCCCTTTATATCCTCAGATTGCACAATTTGGGTTCCCACGGCGTGATCAGATCACAACAGGCTCTCGCTTACGCCTCCTTTCCTAGCCGAAACACAGGGGGAATAGATAAAAATGTGGCTAGCGGGTGGCGGAGGAGGGCCTGTGAGATGGAATCCAGTCTGGCGTACTAAAGGCGAGCAGTCTTCTACCGTGCCTGGCTCAGAGTCTCAAACCAACGAGAAGAACGTACGTACCCGTTCCCCGTGAGCGTCGCACGACCAGATTTCTACTTCAATGATGTCCGGCTCGCCACCGCGAAGGAGGGGATTTCCATATATCTCTGACGCGAGCGACTAGATAACGCGTTGGTGGTACTGAAACCTCGCCACGGGAGATCGTGTCGTGGATTGAGAGTGCTGCAGAAGGATGCTACGGTAACGAGAATCATGAGGACACTTCCTTTTGTTTATGGGGAGTGCAATGTACCAGATCGACTCCTGGTAATCAGAGGCCTCAAACCTGTGTGCACAACCCCACTTGGTCATGCTTGCTGTCAGGTAACATATACGCTACATACAGAAAGATGTTTTGGTGGAGAGTAGGGAAGCGAAGCTCAGCTACCGGTAAACTAACTACGATAGTCTGTATCGCGCCTTCCAATGGCTACTCCGGCGCAGCATGCGTTAGCCTATGCCCAGGTTGACCTCCCTGTTTGCTTCTTTCCGCCATCTATGATCTTTTCAATCACCTTCATCAATCTTATGCTTCTTTAGCAACCTAACAATTCAAAATGCCGGACGCTCCAAATATACCCGCGTTCACTAAGCTGGATGATGTGGATGACTTTGACCGGAAAGACCCTGAAAAGTGGTTCAAGGAGCGCGCGCAGCAGGGGCAGGTTGTAATGCCATCCTCTTTCCTGTCCCCATCAGAGGCCAAAGAAGAGGTAAAGAGTAGAGCTGCCAGTATCTGGTCAAATTACGATCTACTGGGGCAGATTCTTGACCGACACGAAGCCACAATTAGGAAGAGATGGTTGAAGAAGACCAAGAAACAGCAAAAGTCAATTCTCCTTGCCGCTTGGCCAGAAATGGCGCCGTTTCATCGTCCAGACTTCGGCGCCCTTGAACTCGAAGCCTCTGTTGGTCGACCAGATGGGAAGACGAAGTTTCGAGAGTGGTACTTGTGGCCTGTTATGAACCTCGAGGATTTGACCGTGAGAAGGAGCCTTTTACATTTCCTTCACAGTCGGGGCCGTAATCAACCGAGTGCTTTCGCCCGTTCGGATTATATTCGTACCAAAATTGCCCGCAGCACCGGAGCCGTAGGGGCTCCGTTATTACTTGAGCATACCATTTACTTGGATGGCGACACGGCAACTTCATATGGGAGACTTGCATCATGGAAGGACGACATGAATGCACTCGACGACGTGATGCATGATCGATCATTCAATTTCGGATATGGTCTGATCACTCTCGAGATTCAGGATAGAATCATGCAGTTCCTCATTGACTGCTGCAGGCTGATTTTGCATGATATGAACGAGTCCACCTCATTGATCGATCCTCAATTCGCCGTCCAGGGGACCCTGCCTCCCGTCACTACAGATACATCCGAGTACCCAACCACCGTAACACTCGCCATCGAGAGGCAGTACCGCGCTCCCCGGAGTTTTGAATACAAGCGAATGCGGGGAATTATAGGTGCAAAGCTTTCAGAAGCAGAGGATCACATTTTGTTATTGAGAGAAGACCCCTCTTACTATAAAGATACGATAACGGAATTTGGTCAACATCGAAATGAGAGGCTGATAGACACCAACGGCCATGATCACCCTGTTGGCCCTAGAGGGTCACAAGACCATGCGTGTTTCTGGGAACGAGTTATCGCTCACATGACCGAAGATGCGTACCTCTCCCTTATCGACTGGAACATCATTGAGAAGCAGCTCGCCGTTCTCGAAACTTTGCAGGAGAAGTACATTAGTATCATTTCCCCCCAAAAACGGCTTCCTGATGAATACCTGCACGCATTCTTAACTTTCAAGCAAATGTATGAAAGCCCATAATCTTACTTTGAATGCATTCATAGGCCCAACTGACTCGAATAGGCTCATGGAAGCTCAGAGGCGTGTCATGAAGAATCTCCAAAACGACGCCCCAGCCTCCCCACCTCTCCGAGGCCATTATGTCCGTCAACCTCCAAGCCCACATAGCACTCTCACAATCATTCAGATGTTGCCTTTAACCCTAGGCAGTGACAATCTTCTTTTCAAGCTCCAGGCTCTTTCGGATCCAGATAAGACGCACCAATACGGACTTTCTGATATGTTGGATGACCTGGAACGTTTTATCATCGAATACCCCGGCGAAAAGTGTCGGCTTTCATCGCGGGTAATGAACCTCATCTCAAACTTGGGCTTCTTCGCTCAAATCCGCGATGAAATCGAGAATTACCAACCCTGGGCATCAAGCATGGAGTACGAATTCTCCAAGCTCCACAAAGGGGTTGTGGAGGAGGTTTTCGAAAAATTCAAGGTGCGACAGGTGATTGAGAACAACATAATGTATGTATCCACGGGCCTTGAAACACTGGGGGCTCCGATCAGCCCATTCGAGGATAGAGATATAAGATTCTATTACCCGATAGAAAAGCAGCGCACGAAGGAAAATCATCAGGCGATGCGCAAGGCCGAGCAAGATTTGGATGCCTTTTGGAAGAAGTTCGATACGAAATTTAGGTACAAGGTCGGTGAGACTCTCAATGAGATAGTGGGGGGTTTTTTGTTCGAGAATCGTGACTTGAAAAGAACGCCAGAATGGGTTGAGCCGATCAATATCACCCCAGCGCCGAAGAGGAGCAAACAAGAAGCCACTGAAGAATTATTTTCGGGGCTTGACCTTGACACCAAGACTTCAGTTTCGACGAAGGTATCCGCAACTGTAAAAACGAAAAACGGGACCGGAGGCCAGGCAAGCAACCCGCAGGCAGGCGCTGACGATAGCGAGGCGGAAGCTCAACCTAGCAAGAAGACAACCAGGAGGTAGGCGCTAACGATAGCGAGGCTGAAGCTCAACCTACGCTAGAAGACAACCAAGAATCAAGCGCTAACGATAGCAAAGCGGAAACTCAACCTACGCGAAAAGAAAACCAGCAAGAAAGCGCTGACGATAGCGAGGCGGAAGCTCAACCTACGCTAGAAGAGCCCGGATGACAGCTAGACCAACGCTCCTACAAGGTCTTCAGAACTCTTTTCTTCATCCATAATCAGGCGGATACGCCCGGTGAGATCCTTTGGACCGACTCTCTTCATGCGATGGACAAGATGGGGTTTCGTGTTGAGAAGCTGTAGGGCTCGGTGTGGCACTTTGAGCCCACGAAGTTTGACCTGAAGGGCGACATCAGGATCCACGAGCCTTACCTGCAATCTAAGATCCCGTACAAGACCTCGAGGCAGATGGGCAGACGGCTTAGCAGGGCTTATGGCTGGCATATCGGCTGGTTTGTCATGGCTTAGGGGTATGATGGAAAATCGGCATCTTTTCCTCTTGGCAGTGTGACCTAGTATTGTCCTCCGCTGCTGGGTAAACAGATACAATTAGCTTTCATCCTTACCTGCCGGCTGCCGGAAAGTTTATCCATATCTCATTCATCATGAAACGTGTAAAGTGAACGGGGAGCTAGCTGATTTATTGTTTGTTTGTTTTTTCTTCCTCCTCCGAATCAGCCGAGATCTACGCCCCCCTTGCCCCCCCCCCGCGCGCCTATTTTTTCTTTTGACTTATTAGATGTCGGTGGTGTCGATCGCCCCAAAGCTACCTTAGGCGTTAGTATGACCTCCTCGCACATGAAGGCCACGCTATGCGCGACTCGCAGGGTTGTAGCAACGCACGACAACTCTTTGCGGACAAGCTAGCCATGCCCACCCATATACGATACGATATCGAAATCGGAATTGGAACCAGCCAAACCTCTCTTTCTGTGCAGAACCAGGAGGCGTTCGGGATGGGGAGAATTATACGGGGTGGAGGGGCGGGGGGGTAAGTCGGAAGGAGGGGAGATTCGTAAGTAGGACTTATGGTGGAGTTTATAGGATGGGTAGGTGTTTGTGAATTGAGGAATAGGGGGGTATAGAGTGTAAAGGAGCAAGCAGAAGCGCGTTCTTTACTTTTTTTTTTTTTTTTTTTTACCCAAGAGGAGAGGTGGGTAGATATGTGGAGGGGTCATGAGTGACTTTCTAGCTGCATTCATTCAGAGCTGCCAGGTAGCTAGCTAGCTATGTAATGTTCAGAGAGCGCAAGTAGGTGCCACATTCCCTTCCTCCACTTGACTATCACACAGCAGCATAGGGCCCGACATTCTAACCTGGAGCGATGAGAACAGATCCACCCACGCAGGAGCTTTTCAATGCCATCGAAGACACTTGCCCTCCTCCGCCGACCAAGACTTGAGCTTCATGCCCGCCTCCTCACATTCGAGCTTGCCTGGGACACTGAGATGCTTCTCTAGCATGTTTACTTGGATATCCCAGATGTCAACAGCCCACTGCGATGTTGGCCCCTCGATACACTCCAGAAGCAGCTTGGATACTCCTCTGAGTTTGTCGACGGCGCGGAGGGCCCAGAGCGGATCGCCTTGGTGTCCGACGTGGCACTTTGTTCTCATCAGGATGGTACCCACCTGCGAAGCCTTGACGAGAGGTGGGGTCAGACCGTAAGTGTCCGTGGTTGGGAGTGCACCGTCGCGATTGCTTAGTTCCGTTTAGCTCCGAGTGGACCACAAACAGAAGGGAGGGAAGGCACTTACTCAAAGCAGAGGTTCTTGATACCCATCACAGCATTTGGAGAGAGGTCGTCGAGCGTCTTGATGGTAACGGAGTTGAGAGTGAAGTAGTTGAGCTTGTAGAACATCTCAATCGCCTCCGGGTAGAGCTCCTTGTCAGCACGCAGAGCCATCAGCAGAGCCGGTGACTTGTTATCCTCCTCGATCTGCAGGCAGTAGCCGAACATCATCTGGCGCAACTCGATCGGGAACTTCCTAAGTACGGGAGGCGACATGTTGATCTCGCAGGCCTTGACCGCCGACTTGGTGGGAGCGCTCTTGATCAGTGTCGAGTGCGTGATCTGGGACGTCGTGATCTTCGAGCTGAGGACATCGCAATAGTTTAGGGTGCTCTTGGAGACGGCAGAGTTGGCGATGTCGCATTTGTCGAGGGTACCGCCGGCAATGGACGAGGTGTAGATCTTGACATCGCGGAGCTCGCAGTTCGTCAGCGACGAGGCGTAGATGGAGACATTGCGCAGGGTGCAGTTGAGGAAGACGGTGCGCCGGAAGGCAAAGTCACCGGTGAACGTGGTCTCTTCGAAAGCTGCATCCATATCTTTCTCGAAGACAATGCCCGCGCTTGAGGTAGCCATGATTTGATGATTCTCGCGGTGCGGTGTCGAAGGCAATTGTGTTGTGACGGAGTTGCAACGGGAACGGGAGAGGCAGAATAACGGGAAAGAGCGATAATTTAGCGCCATTTAGGCGAGCCACTAGTTGCTTCCGTGAAAGCTGAATAAGGCTGGCAACAGCGTCAATGATCTAGTATTAACGACCACGCGAATCTATGGCTACCTGTTCAACAGTGGAGATGATGAAATCTTGCAGCGGACTTTAACCTGAATTACACAGTCACTGGTCTTGAAACACAGCATAAAGGTCTTCCTTGCTGCGGAAAAGAAGTCCACGAGCCACGGTCAGTCAGAGAGATTTTCCCATCAAAAGTAAAGTCGATTTGGAGAGTCTGATGGAGACACAAAATCTTGTGCATACACTCTGGGAAATCCGAGAGCAGTAAGACTTTGTTCATCGGTAGGGAAGCTACTTATGGGGGGATATCAAGCATACGCAAATTTCAAATACCAGCGATGGATTTCTCGAACATTCAAATTCCCACGGCAATTTCTGCTAAGGGAGGAGAATGACACCAGACATTATTATTCGTGCTTCTTGTACATATCCAAAGCCTGGGAATACCTCTCTTTGTTGCAACTTGCAACGCTACGCGACTAATAAATAGGGCTGGGGTCTTGCCATGGACGATATCAAGCCACTGTTCGAAGATCATTTGTCGAAGCTCCAAACGGTAGCTTTCTCGAGCCTTTCGACTATGATGGAGCGTTTGGTGATGAAGCAATGACTTGAGCGCAGCTAGGTGTGCTAGAGTGTGCTCGAATGACCATGAAGGCATACCCTACGACTGCACGAACCTAGTATATCAGAGGCTTATTAAGAATGGTAAATTAGACAAACACTATTGATTCTTAGATGGTATCCTGGCTTACGAGTTCCCAGCAACAAAAACTTTGCTCAACCCCATTTCAGATGACTAAGAATCGATGATCGCTTAGGCATGTCAGATTTCGACTACATCAACTCTGAATACTCTTTTCTAGTCCTTCGTATGTAAATATGTGGTATGAACGGCTTTCGGTTACCACGAGCATCTCCTCTGGGCCGACGCTTCTCTTCAATAAATAGATTTAGCTGCTTCTCGATAATGCCGTAGTTTTCAGGCTTAATGATAAAGTCGTTGCCTCTTTCCGCAGCTCTCCAAATCAAATTATTCCCAGGGAGCGTAGCAATGCCAACTCGCCTCCGCCAGTCAGGCGCGTCGGCTTAGAATCTACATTTTCGCCGTTCGTACCGTGCTTGTCGATGGCAGTGGCCCGTCCGAGGTAGTCCGGTCGCAAGCATTGGGGATAGTTCTCGTGTCGGTGTAAAACCTGGTGTACACCATTTACTTTGACGCGACGTGTGACGTCTTGGTATTCGACCTAGTCCGAAGGATCGGTACCTATGTCCTCCGGGCCAGGTTGATACTGGAGATTTTCGGCAGGCGAGAAGCTGACGGTGGTGTCAAGATAAGTTATAATTCCTTCCGAATGTCAAGTGCTATTTCCAAGATCTTCTCTGGCTGCTCTGAGTGTTACTTCGAAGTTGGTCACCTGCCGACATTCTCGGACCGGCAAAAGAAGCTTTCGAATGATCATTCGAAATCAGAATCTGGGTTTTTCTTTCCAGCTGTTCTTGGGAGACAAGTCGCTCTTCCGGCGTATCTGAAGTTTAAGGAGTTGCCACAGTTGGTAATTCTTGGCCATGGCCTCGCTCTTTTGCAAGGCTCTATTGCAAGGTTATTTCTACCAAGCACCACATCGAGGTCTTTCATGCTATGGTTCTTCTTACTTCGTGCTGGCGAGGAGCTATTCGTTGGCCGGTTCCTTTCCTAAATTTTGTACAACATCAGTCGAATACCCGAGTCCGTTTGTTGCCTCACCTTCCAACCTCTATGAAGCTAATCACTGCCTGAATACCGCTGAACCGCTATACGATCATATGTATGTAGACTTGAAGCCATTCCATCCCACACCAGCAGGTTTATTTCTTACCTCCGGAGAAGGAGTGGCGCATAATGATAGTTGAATGCTAGCTAGGAAGCATATGATGAAAGTGAAAATAGATAGCTTGCAATACCAAGTGGGAACAGCGTATTGTTGGCAGCAGCTATAGGTATTGCACGACACTGCAAGGTAGACCGCGAATCCTAATACCACAAAATAAGTTCGGCAAGATTGTTATTTACGAATAAGGGTCACCGGCATGAAACCGTTCCGAAATCTTATTACATTCTGCACGACTGGGCTTTGAAGACGGGGCACGGCCGCGGGAAACTCAGGAGACTCATCCGGTTCGGGCTGCCAACGAGCCATACATGTACCTGACCTCCCACACCCAAAAGCTGTCCGAAATTCTGTTTAGCAAAGCCGCAGGTGCGTCTCGTTCATATGATTCTCGGCACCACTGGGCATCGAAATTTTGCAGGACTTCGGCGGCCTCGTCTGTCTTGGCTGCCAGTGGATCGGTCCTATCGTCGAATCTAACCCAGTCGCCAAACGATGCTATTGAGCAGAGACGGGTGCCTTTCAACTGGGCAATCGGCCTCAGTTCCCGAGGATTCGATGGTGGTCCGGAAAGCTTCCTATTCGTTGCATATGTACAGCATCTCCTCGAGCTCGCGCCTTCTAATGGTGTCCCTCTCCGTGACCCTCCCCATGTCCATGATCATCACTCAGAAAGAAGTGTTCGTATCCGCAGTATGCCGCAAATGCCACTGTCGCAATACCCAGGCCTGGGAAGCTGCCTTTAAATCGGTTGGCTCGTGTGAATGGTCCGCTGTATCGCCACGCCTCACTGTAGGCCGCAGTCAGTCTCGAGGTCTCTGATCTGTCTTTTCAATTGCGCTCACGCTCTCGCCCAGGGGTCGTTCTTGGGTTTTCCGGCGGCGGCGGCGTATGCCTTTGGATCAAAGCCCGTGAGGTTTGCTCGAGGAGCAGCCCTTCGTACACTGCCAGCACACCGTTAGCTTGCGCAAAGAATCACTACTCCATCTGCATGGCCCGCTCCAATTGATCCTGATCTGGCATACCTTGTAAGACGCATGTTGTAAATTGTGGTCCACGAGATTGTGTTTCTGGGGGACCGGGTCAACAGTTCAGGTGTTTTCCAACTCAATCGAGGTCGAATCCAGGTCTTGGCACATTAAGCTCACAGGTGAGTCAGCCGAGAATCAGCCGATACAGTACAGTAAAGTACTTCGTACTTATCAGAAAGGCCTGTCTCTTCAACGCATCCCATCCGCACCTACCCACCCCCCTCCTCCAAGAGCAAGCAGATCGATACAGTAAAACCTGCGACAACAAGGAAATCCGAATACCGAATACCGAATACTCTTTTGTCCCTCCCACTTCGACCTACGTGACCTCGAGATTGCCATTCACCATCTGCCACCCTGTGCCTGTCTCTCGCCCCGAATTGTGCGTTACGCTGCGCCCATGAAAATCAGACAGCTCCCTCGACCCCTCTGGACCAGCATACATAACACAGAGCTTCTTCAGGATGCCTCCGCCGATGCAGCGCTTTGGCGTCGCGAATAACCTTGCAAACCACTACCAGCAGTATCCATCTCATGCGCAGTCGCATGCGGCCGGCCTGGCTCCGCCCGCCAACCAGGGGTTCATGAATGCGAATTCGATGAGCAACCCTTTTGCCGTGAACGGGAATGCCTTGAGCCTCTCCGGGGGTTTCGGAGGCGCTGGTATAGGGGCGCCTGGGGCCACTGGGCTGGCGAGCCATGCTGCGCAGCTGGGCTTTGCGAATGCGAATCACCCGGTACACAACGGTATCGACCACGGAGCAAGACAGGCGGGAAATAAGAACAGGATACGGGACGTATGGGCTGGTAACCTCAATGAGGAAATGGCTATTTTGAGGTGTCTGGTGGACAAGTACCCATACATCGCAATGGTAAGAGGAGAGCTCGGAACGGAAGCGCAAGTATTGGATTGTTGGTCTGACATGAAGTCAGGATACGGAATTCCCTGGACTCGTCGCACGACCTATGGGATCTTTCAATGGGAAGAGCGATTATCATTATCAGTGTCTCCGTTGCAACGTCGATCTGCTCAAACTTCTCCAATTAGGCATCAGTGTGTTTACGGAAGATGGCGAATCCCCTCCAGCGCAAATGTCCGCCGCAGAGTTGGGACTCGACGTGACACAGGAAGAGACGCGGAAGTATGCTAGTAATTCCCCAATCAACATCCCGACGACGTGGCAGTTTAACTTCCAGTTTTCTCTGGAAGATGACATGTTCGCAGAGATGTCGATCGAAACATTAAGGAGAGCCGGGGTAGACTTCGACAGAATGCAGGCCGATGGCATAGACGTAGGCACTTTTGGGTCAGTCCTTATGACATCTGGCCTCGTTTGCTACGAAGAAGTGCATTGGGTATCTTTCCACGGGGGCTACGATTTTGGCTACCTCACGAAACTTCTCATGGTCAACCCTCTCCCTGATGATGAATTCGAATTTGATGTCAATATGAAGAAGTACTTCCCCAGCATATATGATATCAAGTACCTTATGAAGGCGGCCATCAGACAACACACTATGGGCCAGGCCACTCCACTGGATCCGCAGAGCGCCGAAGTTTTGCAGAAGTTCGAGCAGAAGTCCGGCTTGGAAGCCCTGGCTGAGAGCCTGAAGATCAAGAGACAAGGCTTTGCGCATCAAGCTGGGTCGGATTCGCTGTTGACGGGCAAGGTGTTCTTCCGAATCCGGGAAAAAATCTTCAACGGCGAGATCAGCGACGAGCACGATGGCAAGGTATGGGGTCTGGGGTTTCCAGAATACGTTATTAGTAATGCCCACATCCAACACAACAACTATCAGCAACAAGAGAATGTTACGCCAGGCCAGAACGGGTACACCAATGGCACTCCAAGTACTCCGAATACTGGCAATGCGAATCTTGTGAGCACACCTGTCCACAGCAGCAATACTGGACCGATGGGGCCTCAGACGCCTGGTGGGACGGGTGGAGTATTTGGAGCTTTCCAGTACAACAGGTGATAGAGTTGAGGATCTCAGGATGTGGGCTTTAGGATGCGGTCGGTGTTGGTATTCGAAGGTAGAAAACCCGAGCGGCGGGTTGGGGCACTACGAGAGTCTCGACTGGAGTTAGTTATACTTTGGCGTAGCCATTGAATCGATACGGAGGAGTTCGATGGATTTGCCTTGGGGTGTTGATGTATATTATGGAGAGGATAGATCCGAAGTGCATTCATTGCCAAATCTATGTGCAATCTTGCTGGTCATTGTGTTCAAGAAAGGAGTAGGTACAGAGAAGGGCTTTCAGCCTCATGTGTAAGTAAGTGCCTTGGGCCACAGTTGGCGTCTCAAGACGTTTCCTCTGATGGTTCTGATATATGGACTCCTCCTCCTCCATCCGACCAGTCGTCGTCAATGGTTGTTTGTCTACCTATTTCGCATTCTCAACCGTCATCAATCAATCATACAATATCCCTTCTTCAACTTACCCCTAACAAAGGTAACAAATGATTCCACGAGCCTGTTCTCTATACCCAAACAAATCCCCTTCGCAAATATTCCACGCCTTCAATAATCATAATCCCGCTATTAAATGACCCTTTAGCTCGCTTAAAAAAAATCCACATCGCTATTATCTAGCGAAGCAAGTGTCGACTCCTCGTCACCACCAGAGCTCGCTCTGGTCGTGCAGCGGGACACCACCCACACAATATGCTAATCTAATTGAAATCCTTTCCTTACGGGTCAAAGGGGTTTTTCAAGGCGCATTTTCTCCATCGGGAAACTGAGGGGAAGTGTGACCGGAGTTTTGCTGTTTTTGGTTATTTTATTTTTTATTTTTTTTCGGCTTGATTGATGGGAGCGGCGAAACAAAAGACTCGGTACTTACTAGTGTAAGCTGAGAAAGTGATAAAGACTTACCTAGCTTCTGGTGGTCTATAGCGGAGGGAGATATATTGTCTGGTGCAAGGGGCTGATTACCTAATCAGAGCTATTCTGGATTCTATCAGTGAGTGGTATTGATGCAACATCCATGGCGGGGTCAAGACCATCATATCCTCGTTCCGTAAATCATCTTAAATTCTCTCCAGATCATCTCATCCTTTCCTTTCTGGCAAAACAGAAAAAGAAAAGGACACCACCCCGCTGCAATGCCCAACCCGCGCATCCTCCTCCTCGGCGGCCACGGCAAGGTCTCCCTCCTGCTCACGCCCAAGCTGGTGCAGCGCTCCTGGGACGTTGTGTCCGTCATCCGGAACCCGGGCCAGGAAGCTGCGGTCCTGGAGGCGGGCCGGAGCGGGCCGGGCGGCATTGAGGTGCTGGTCACGAGTTTGGCGGATGTGAGGAGTGAGGCGGACGCGAAGGTCATTTTGGAGAAGACGAGGCCGGATTGGGTTGTTTGGAGTGCTGGTGTGTTTATTCCGCTCATTTTTTATCTTTTGATTTTTGGACATTTTGTTTTGGGGAATTTGGGGGGTGGGTGATGGAGTTGTGTTGCGGTTTGAGGTGAAATGTTTGAACCTTTAGGCGTGTAGTTTTAAGCTGTGGATTTTGGACAGGGCTTAGATGTTGACTTTGACAATATAGGTGCTGGCGGTAAAGGCGGAAAAGAGATGACTTACGCCATCGATCGCGACGCTTGCACGTTCTTCGCCCGCTCGGCGATCAACGTGCCGTCTGTGAAGAAGTTCCTGCTGGTTTCTGCGCTGAGTTCGAGGAGGGAGAGGGCATCGTGGTGGGATGACCAGTCCTGGGAGACGGTGACGAAGGTCAATACCGAGATGATGCCGGATTAGTATGTACTTTTGCAAGATATTGGCGCCTTTTCTCTCTTGGGCCCCCAATGCGCTGAACTGCTGCTCTTGGTTAGAAATATACATTCACTGACATCTGATGCTTAGTTACAAGGCCAAACTAGCAGCCGATGAGAACATCACTGTTCTCGGCGAGGAGAAAGGCTTTCAGTACATTGTGCTCAGACCTGGCAACTTGAGCGATGAACCTGAGACGGGGAGAGTCGTTTTGGGAAAGACTCCTGCGAGGGGGAAAGTCACGAGAGGCGATGTCGCTGAGGTAGCGGCGAGATTGCTTGAAAAAGACGGCGCGAAGGGGTGGTTCGATATTCTCGGAGGCGAGGCCAACCTTGGTGAGGAAGTTGACAGGGTGTTGAATGACAAGGTGGACTCGAGGGAAGGAGAGAGCCTGGAAGTTATGAAAAAGGATCTGAAGCTGTAATTTGTGCTGGTATTTTGAGAGGTATAAGCTATTTACTCAGATGAGCAGCAAAATTCACATCTCAAGCTATCCTTGGTATCTAGTACCTGCAGTACAACATTGCATTTGAGTCTTGCCCTTTGTGAGTTGAAGTAACCAACCGCCTCTGCCATCCTCGCTTAGTACGTAACTCAACTTCCAATCTCATACCATTTCAACCGTCCAGGTCCGAACACCCCCAAAGAACCGCTCCTCACACCCTTTCTCGCTTTGACACCCCCAGAAAAGATAGGCTAGCAGCATTTGAGCACACGTACGGAGAAGGCAAAATCCTCTATTGTCAATGTCATAATCTAGGGTCAAAGGAGCTCGCCGTGATTCCTGGAGGTAAGCGAACGATCAAGATACATCACCTTCAGCACACCGCTCCATGTAGCGAACTTACACCAGTTCAAAATGAAATAATTATGTAACAAAGCAAATATAGAAGTTGATAGCGTAATAGATAGGAGCAGAGACTTGTATGCAGCGTATATCAAGCAAGCCTTAAGGTGCGACGCATGCATCGATATGGCCTCCCATGAGCGCTAGTTTCGATCACGAGCTACCTGATCCTTGATCTTCGGGGAACCGAACTTAAAAAGGCCAACGTTGAAATCTGATGAAAAGAATAGATTTGACGAAGTCTTTTTTTTTCCGGAGAATATAGTAGTAGTGAGAAGATGTAGTCGATGCTTTTTTTTTTGTCTGTGGTATTTCGAAGGAGAGAAATTGGAATGACGACGTTAGCTATGTTGATTTCTCTAACTGTGTTGCAAATTAACTCGTGATCATGAGTCCTTGCAGACAAACAGCTCTAGAACGATATAGACTAGAACGATGTAGACGGGGCATAAACCTATCTCTGATGAGGCTCTATTTATCTCTCGCACGCAATCAAGTCAGCGGTGAATGAATTGTCATTTTCCCAAAAGTGTTGCGTAGTTTAAAAGTTCCGGGGTCCCGCTTCGCAATAAATCCTTTATATCACTTGTGATATACTTACGATAGTCCCTTTATCAGTTCATCAACCTACGATTGAATTCGACTGAAAATAAAAGGGTTTATATTTAGAAAATTATAATTTTCAAGATTAATGGTATCTTGTATTGAATTTCAAGATATGAATCTGATATTTAGAAAGACCTTAATCAAGCGGGCTCATGTATCTTATTTTCATTACTATAGCTTTTACTATTATAATATCCCTTAAGTTATAAATGTGATCGAAAAGCTGACGTTCTTGAATTTTCGCTTAACCATCCCAGCTTTTTTTGCTCTTACAATCGTACTTTTTGCGTGAGAAGTGTTATTTTAAATATTTTTATGATGAAATTATATAATGTTCTTCATGGATCCAATAGAACCCGTTCTCGTCGATCCGTGTATCTAACTTCAATTATGATAGCTCTTTTCGTTGTTGACTTATTCTTAATACAAATTGTGATCTTCGATTCTTCTCGATAGAATTTTTCTTTTAATTCGATTTGCGACTTAAATAACTCAATAGAGAAAAGAGCTACACTATTTCCATTTAAATGCATTTATCGACGGAATTGAGCTCGTTCTAGGTATTAAAGTTTCAATGTTATAGCTCTATTCTTTGCTAAGTTATTTCCAATACGAGTTGAAGTGGGACACTTGCTTGCCCTGACTGTTAGATTAAAAACAGACCCGATCAAGACAATAATGTCAGCCGATACCGTATTACTACACCGTACTTTGCCCTCGTATCAATTAAACCTCGGACTTATCATACGCACCCATGTGACGATCAAGGTTCGGCCCGAGCCCTGACTCATCCTCCTGCATACTTCGTAATTCAAATCAACAAATACCCCGTACGGAGGTGAAGGAGGTACAGCGGTCAAGTGTCGTAACCCTCGACCCACAGCCACTTTTTCTAACCTAATTGGGTTCTGCTCAAATGAGGTTCTTCAAAATTCCGCGTCTAGCGATCACGTTACCGCCTAAGTGTAGTAGCTGTGGGTCGACGAGGGTTACGACACTTGAATTTGACCGGATGTACCTCCGTACAGCGGTGGATCATGATTTCGCATACTTCAGTACCTTAAACCAAATGCCGCTCTATATAATGAGAATTTTTCTCATGTGGCTCGGACAATTAGCCGTGATCGAAGGGAAATAACAAGAAGGAAAAGAAGCTATTCGCAAAGGCGGCTTATTGCAGGATCGCGAGACAGGATCGCGAGAGGATGTATTCCGTATATCCAAAAACAACAGATTAAAATCAAAATTAATCGATGCAAAACACTTCTACTTACTCTTAATAGTATAGCCAGTTCTACCACAGGCAGAACAAGAGTAACGCGTCGCTAGCTTTACCGCTTCTTCTGTTTGCTCCCAGCTTTGATCTTAAGCCGCTCGAAAGGAGCGGTGTGGTTTCCAGTAAGTACTAGAGTTGTGTGGATTTCTACAAGGCCATTTCTACAGCTCGGCTCTTCTACTTTCCTCTACGCGTAAAAAGGAAACCTTAGCTAGCATGAAGCCGCAATAACTTTTGAGTGTTGAGGCATGCGAAATCATGCTCTGCCAATGTCGAGGCGTGGGAGGTCTTGGGCCAAGTACCTACAGCAGCTTTGTCTATCCATCCGTCCGTCCGCATTTACTCCGCGGTACTTCTATATCCACCTCCCAAGCCCAGCCCAGCCCAGCCCAGCCCAACCTCAACCTAAGCCCAACACAAGACCCGAGAATGTAGTGGCCGCATCCGGGAACCCGTTCCGGTCTCAGACGGGAAACATATGCCGATGCAATAATGTCCGTACTACTACGTATATAGTAGGAGGAACAGTACTCTACGATACGAGTAAGAAAAACAGTCGGCCGGGGAAGCTGGGATGCTACTCCCGCGCCCGATTTGCGACGTGCAACAAAAAGAGAAGAAAGGGAATGGGAATGGGAGGGGGAGGAGAGAGCGAATCCTGTCTGTGCTGTGCTCGTGTGGTGTCTTTCCCCGTGCCGTGTGCATTCTTTTCTCGCCGAGAGAGGGAGAGGGACACGAGACCAAACCCCTAAGAAATCTCGCTTAGGAGCTTGGGGAATGGTGTTGAAGGATGTTGGTCGGTGTTTTTTATTTATTTACATCGCTGATGGGTTTTTTAGTGGGATTAGAGAGGGGCTTGGAGTTTGGAGACGAGGGCTGAGATGTGAATAGAGAGAATAAAAAGTTATCTTCGGCTCTCAATTCCTGACGCAGTGTTTCGTTGGTTGTTGGTTGATGGTGGGAATGTATTTTTGGACCATGAGATGGTCAACAATCCAGCCGCGTATCACATCTCTCAGACTCTTTCGTTGTGCTTCTTATGCAAAGCTACGATAAACCCCACTGCATCTGGATGAATAGGCTGGATATGTAGTAGACGAAGAGACGGATGGAATTTTGGACATCTTGGCGCTGGTTTGCTATTCACGGAGTACGGTAGGTAGGTATTTTCTACGCACCTACCTACAAACAATGCACATTTCCAAAGCTCATGATCTCAAGAGACAATTTAAAGCCGGCGTCAAATAATGCCACCTTACATAATGACATCTTCAAGTCTCAAGGCTCTCCAAAAGTCGACGTAAGCATCCCAACTCTAAGGACCACCCATCCCCCGGAATCTCCGGCCTAGCTCCCGGCGACGTGCAACAAAACTGCTATTCTCTTCAATAGACGAAACCCCATTCGCGCATAGAAGTGTGTCACCATGTGCATTTCACGTCAGCGACGCGGGCGCCGGGGGATATATATGAATTCTTCCGTCGGCGGGATGTTTTAGCTCCCCCCCCCTCGCGCCGCTCTACTACCACTACCACTACTAATCAAGCAGCAAAAGATAATAGGTAGGTAGGTAAGTAGATCCAGAAAAAAAAATAGAAAATGAAATAAGCATATGTAAACAAAAACCACACACTTCACAAAGCCGGAATACTACTTACCTAGCTAAAGTCCGTAAATCTTTTGTGGCGCCGCACCCCTTCCATCTCCGTCGAGCGGCCGAACCAAAGCAGCATCGTGAGACGATGTTGGCCGAAATTTGTTGCTGCTCTGCTGTTTGTTGACTGCAAAATAAGTGGAATCTTGGGGAATATGATAAGTATAGCTGCTTGATACTAATGGGCTGTGAAAAAAAGTTTCAATGTGGGCTCAGCTCTGACTGCTGCTGCTGCTGCGAAAAGGAAGTAATATTAATGATAGATACATAACAGAATCGGTATTTGAGGAGGCTCTAAATAGGAGAAGGAGAGAGAAGGAGGTAGGGTAGATGGATAGATAGATAGATGGATGCATCGATGGATGTAGAAAAGGTACTACACGATATAAGACGTGAGATGTTGAGATGCGAGATTCAATAGAACAAAAAAACCACGGGAATATACATATTGTGAGCTGTTAGCCCTAGTTGTATTAGGCCTTCAGAAACAAAGAGTCGAAATACACTACTACGTCTGCAAGGAAATACGTCCTGTCGCCAAGTTTGATCTTAGATCTTCCCCGTGCATAGGCGATCACTAATAAGTCTCCCATGATGTTGCAATCGTCGCGTTGTGTTTGAACCGAGCCAGAGATTGGATTTCTTGAGATATTACGCGTTGAGATAAAGGTCGTGGAGCCCAGGTTGACCGGATGCTCTGGTTCTCGACTTCTGCGCATCAGCTCTCCTGCAGAGCTCAATGCATCGCGAGCAATCTGCCGAATTTGGGTATCTTATACTGCCGGTCTCATGCCCGGCGCTTGTCTGCCATTGATGAATGAATGGTACGAGCCAGAAATTCGGTTCCGTGGCCGTAGCAGAGCCCACTCGATCGCCAATCATTCGCAGCCTTCTCCCTCCGAATACTGTATACCGCTTGAAACCTGTCATGCGGAATTGGCATGCCTCAGGTTCCACCAAAGCTAAAGATCAGATGACCTCGCCTATTAGCTCCCTTGGCGCACTGGAGCTCTGAGGTACCTAGTAGGTATACCGATACTATTCCCTATCTTGATGAGCCCAGGTAGAATAAACTAAGCTGCATTCAATCATCGGAATCTCCTCCTGACCATAGTGCTCCACCAGCACTATAGTTCAGAGCCATATTCGCACTCGCGAGTTATTCAACTAGTCTTGGATAATCTCCGAATCAATTTGGAGCTGATTCCGCAAGTTTCTTCAACGCTTTTTCGTTACAATCTGTTCTTTTCCGACAACAAAATCTCTTCAACGACTCCAACCGCAACGTCAACCGCTCGAAAGATGGACACCTCAACGGCTCTTCCGGTGATCGTAGGTCACCCGATCTTGACAGGACGCTGGGACTACTTGGAATGGGCTAGGAATTACGATTGCCTCGTCAAACAGCTTAAGATGGAAAAGTACGCTTCTCCTCGCTTAGGAATAGAGGATCCTGCTCCAAATATCGAACACGAGAAGCCAGTTATGAAGACCGCTTACCAGCTGATCCAAGAGCTGGACCAGAAGCGTACCCAGGAGTACAACGTCGCCAACGCAGCATGGAGTGAGCAAAATCCAAATGCTGCTCCTGACGACCCTCGCAGACCCCAGCCGCCAGCGAACGCAGTCTTCGATGACATTGAGGAATACTACTTTGTATTGGCAGAGGAATACAAGCTTTTAATGGAAAACTGGGAGATCTTGCTGCGCAAAGGCATTCGAATCTTTAACTGGATCAGCCAGACAGTGGAGGGGTCCATCCTCCACGAAGCAATGTTCGCTGCTAACCAGGAGAACAATTACACAATTCAGTTCTTGGTGGAGAAGCTCCGAGAGACATGCCGACCATCCGATTCGAGCTTCAGATTGGGCCTGGCGAGGGACAAAACAAATCTCTGCAGATAGCCAAACAAGGGAGCATCTCCCCCGCTGTATGGATCAGGGACCATCTGGATGAGCTTCCTAGATAGAATATACTAAGCTTCGTTCATTCATCGGAATTTCCTCCTGACCTTAGTGCTCCATCAGCACTACAAAACCTTATTGCTTCCCAAACAGCTCTGACAGACTCAACCTCCTGCCCATCGTCCTCTCACCCTCATGCCCCTCCCTACTCGGAATAAATCCATCCCCCAAATTCACAATCCCGTCATCACCCCCGGCCAAGCTCCTCTCCCTAACCGCCTCCTCCCAATGCTCCCTAACCAGTTGGGCAATGGCCTCCCGCGGCGGGTCATCCGCCTGTATAAACAAGCCCAGCACCTTCATCTCGCTCTCCGCACTCTGCCCCCGCGGCCGGAAGCCCAGCATCAGGAACCCCTCCGCCGCAATCTCCACGTGCTGGATCTCCCCGCTCTCCACTATCAGGTTCTCCAACCCCTTCCGGTTCAGGAGGACGATGCAGTGACGGCTCCCACCGGTGACAGGGGAGGGGGTGAGCTGGCAGACGAACAGGGTACCTTCAACGTTGGCTTCTTTCTCCCAGGAGCCCGTGGGCATGGTGTACAGTTGGGCGGAGGGCGCGTAGCAGACTATCTCCTCGAGGGCGGGGACGTAGCGGCGGATTACGGAGAAGTTGATCTCGGCTGGGGTGCGCGCGGGGACGGGCGGGTTGTAGAAGGCTTCGGTGTCGTAGTCTGAGGCCTGGATAGGGACCGTGGCTTGGTTCTGGCGGCGCGACCTGCGCGGTGTTTTGGGAGGCATGGCGATGTTAATGTGATGTCGTTGCTGTCGGGGTCGAAGGTGGAATCTACGAATCACCAGTCGTATAGGGTAACTCAAGGTGAGTAGTTTCGTATTGCCTGGAGTGTTCACGATGGAGGTTGTAGTGGTATGGCTCCCTGATTGAAAGTTGACGTTTTCAACTGTGAACTGGATGAGGCTGGCGATTTTCAGCCTCGTCTCGCTTGGTAAGAGACCCACCCCTTTTTTCCATCCACAAACAAGATCTTGACAACGCAATATGATCGACCGGCAAAGTCTTATTAGTAGAGATGTCGCTAGCAGATTATGATTAGTCATATCGACCGGTCATATTCAGCTGAGACTCGGTCTCCCTGTGCCATCTCGACAACGGTATCTTCAGTCAGCTATCAGAGTTGCTTCCAGGTGCTTCTTTCCAGAGACTTGAAATGAGAAATTGAAGACAGTTTGCTCTCTGATATCTCCTATTTTGGAGCAATCGTTAGAAGGACGTTATTTCACTGCCAAACCTACTTTTATAGTCCGTCGGATATGGCTGGAAGTCCAGCTCGTGCTTGCATCAATGGGCAGGTAAAGACAGATACCGTATAGACATGTAATAAATATTTCATACTCGCTTCTACCTCCTGGGTAGTGAGCTTTGGAATTTGAAATCAGACCGTCTATCTCTTTCTCAGTACTCGTATCTTTATATTTATCTAGATATACATTTCCTTGGTCGATCCATTCTTCTCCGTACATTCTTATCGAGTCAGCCCTCTCAATCGAGCTAGCCTGCGATCGACGACATGGGTCAATTTATTCAGCCCCATCTGCCTAATTCCCCACATCATCAGCATCTCATCTCGCTTTTGAACGCCCCCAACCCGCCAAAGTCGTTCCTCCATCTTCAATTTTACGTAGTGTTTCTTCACTCTACGTACTGATAACAGAATCTCCGTATACCTGCAGGACAACAATCGCTATACCAAATCTCCTTTACGTCATCTCCGCATCCCGCATCCCGCATCTGACATGCCAAGATAAGCGCCGTCCCATCCCTCTCCACGTCTCACGATCTCACCCGTGGGTGTTTTGTTTCTCGCACCGTGACCTTCCAATATGGCCTCGAATCCTCAGACATCCGTTGACCAGGGCCAGCACCAGGACCAGGACCGTGCCGTGTCCTCGCCTGCCGCGAAGATCTCCAGTCCGCATTCTCTCTCGAAAGCGGTCCATGCCCGCCGGGCCGAGTTCACACGGCCGCAACGGATCCGGATCAAGATCGGCACTTGGAACGTAGCGGCGTGCCCCGGCACAGAAAAAGATCTCGGCGGGTGGTTCGTGGACGGCAAGGGTATTGACAAGAGGCTGGCAGGCTTGAGTGTCGCCAATGGCATTGAGAGGGACGGAAGCCAGGATCATGTCGAGAGCGTAGAGGCGCAGGAGGCCCGGTGGAAGAAGAAGGTGTCTTCGATACCGAAAGACGACGAGGGAACGATTGTTGGCGGGGAGGAAATTGGCATATTCGTGCTGGGGCTTCAAGAAGTGGTGGATCTGACGAGCGCCAGGGAATACATTGGGAGAGTGTATACGGACCCAGAGCCGACGGCCAGATGGAGGAAGGCTATGGTGGACGGGCTACCTCCCGGATACGTGTTGATCGCTGAGCAGCAACTATCCGGGCTGCTACTCTTCATTTTCGCCTCGCCCTCGATTGCACCGACGATAAGTTCTGTCAGTACGGTCGGTGTCGGGACGGGAATAATGGGATATCTGGGAAATAAGGGGGCCGTCGCGAGTAGGATCGTGTTAGGAGAGACGACACGAATGGTCTTTGTTAATTCGCATCTCGCTTCTGGCACAGATCCAGCGCACCTAGATCGCAGATGCTGGGACGTTTCCCAGATTCTTCAACGGACACAATTCGATCCTATAAGTTGGTCTGGAGTCTTGGATGACAAGGGCGAGGGTATTGGGGACGAAGATTTTGCGTTCTGGTTTGGCGATTTAAATTTTAGGTTAGATGGGCTTCCGGGTGACGATATACGACGACTCTTAATGCTGCATACGAAGGGCGAATATGATATTGGACGAAAGTCACGAAAGAAGATTGATAAGGAGTTGGAGAATACAGATGGGTCTATTGTCATACGAAGCGTTGAGAGCGACTCGGACTCGGACGACGAGGCAACGATACCAAGGACCAAGAGTTTTTACGAAAGCAAAGACGACAGTTCTGCTAATACACTTCCCGACCCTGATGACTTTGTTCAGGATCCGAGTCAAGATCCGGCATCTTTGCAAGCCACGCTTGATTCTCTGCTTTCCCATGACCAGCTGCGGCACGTCAAGAAGAAGAGGAAGGCTTTCCATGATGGCTGGCGAGAAGGACCAATCACCTTTTTGCCGACCTACAAGTACGATGTCGGGAGCATGGGGATGTTCGATTCTAGCGAAAAGAAACGAGCCCCGAGTTGGTGCGATCGAATCCTCTTCCGTACCCGGAAAGATAAGCTTGAGTTCGATGGGAAGACACAAGAAGAGGAACTCGCTAGAATAAAAGACGAGGAAATGAAAGCCCGAGGAATCGATCATGCCGCAGACGACGAAGACGTCTTGTTTGACTATAATCCAGACGAGGACGGTGCTGAAGAGCCAGCGAGAAAGGAATACGATGAATATGACGAGGATGAAAGTGGAATTACGGAAGCGGTTGTCACGAAGGAGGGCTACGTGGATAGGATACACCTTGATGTTTATACTTCGCATCAACGGGTCCTCTCTTCGGATCACAAACCTCTGGACGCAGTATTTACTCTCGAGTACGATGCTGTAGTCCCAGAGCTAAAAGCACAAATTCAACAGGAAGTAGCGCGCGAACTGGACCGTGCCGAGAATGAAGGACGCCCTGGCATCACCGTCGTGGTGGATCATGCTGCAGACGATGCTCCCAAGGCCGAAGACCTGAGCCAGTCGGCGGCACAATTAGCGGCAGCGGCAGAAGGTATTGATTTCGGTGACGTCGGTTTTCAGCAACGCAAGGTACGAAGTGTCACTATTGCAAATACTAGTCAAGTACCTGCCAAATTCTCATTCGTGGACAGGCCTAGCGATTCCGGCGACGAGGACCGCAGTGCCCCCTCTTGGCTTCAGATCAGCTTCGCAGCTTCAGACATAGACGACTGGCAAGACCTACAAAGAGAGGTCACACTTGAACCAGGCCAGACTATCATCGCCACATTGGAACTCTTCATCGACGACGTCGAACTCGTCAAAGCCCTCAATCAAGCAATGTCCCAACTAGATGATGTCCTCGTCCTTCGAGTCATCGACGGCCGTGACCACTTCATCCCTATCCATGCCTCCTGGCTTCAATCTTGCTTCGGCCGCTCCGTCCATGAACTCATCCGCATTCCGGTGGGCGGTGTCCGCGCTCTGATACCTCCACGAAACGGTGAGGGTGCCCCCGTAAATCGTGGGCAGGAAGTCTGCTGGTCTGCACCGCGCGAGATCTTCAAGCTCACTGAAGCCATCGAGTGCCTTACCGATCGCGTAATAGCCGACGCAAATATGCTTGACAACGCCCAGCCTCCCAATAAATTTCCCGGATGGCCATTCGACCGCAATTCCTGGCTTCTCAAAGACAATGCGCTGAGAGAAGCTCATTTGAGCCCTGTGCTCGATGCTTTGGACTCAGACACTAGCCTGCTGCACGCCTTCGACCCTGAGATTCCAGCCTTCCTGAAACTCGAGATCGTTGCCGAGATTTTAACACTGTTCCTTGGCAGCATAACAGATGGCATAGTCCCTGCTCCCATGTGGACCCAAATCGACGCTTCACTCACCACTAAACCCCTCACTTCCTCTTCCTCTCCTCAAGAAATCGAGGATGTGAAATCTCAAGTCCTCGACGTGCTCTCCTCATCACCCAACCACAACATTTCGTTCGTTTTCTTGGCAAGTATGCTATGTCGCGTTGCCGGCGAACTCGCCCCCGTGCCTAATCAGAGCCGAACGCCGACGGAAATACGGAGTAAATTTGGACCGGTTAACTGGAGTCTGGGCTGGAGAGGAGCGAAGGCGGCGCCGCCGCCGTTGATCAGCCCAGCAGTAGTGAGACGGGCGAATGCGGAAAAAGCCTACGCAGAGTGTTTCAAGGACTGCCTGTTCAGGTGGCCGGAGGGAGTCAAGGATAAAGAGCGGAAAGCTGGCGATGATCGGAGAAGGGACATTCTCGAAGCGTTTATGAGGAGTGGGCGCTAATGGGCTGGGGCGGGTCTGGGAAGCTTAGGACAGGGGTGGGGTTAATTTTGTAAGAACACGGTTGGTAGGCAGGTATGCAAGAAGAAGATGGGCACTAGGAACCGCGGGTTGAACGAGGAATGCAACTGCTGAAATCGAAGCATCTCGTGGCTTTGTTGGCGCCCGCTACCAGCTCTCGTCTCATCTCATTTCGTCCCTGTTCTATCGAACACAACCCCCCTTTCCCGCACATCACATAATCTTACAGTCTGCTTGTGCCACTGTGAAGTAAGTAGGGGGGAAATGCTGTGTACATACATACCACGAAGTCAGACGAATCCCACGCTAAGGTAGAGAGAGGTACGCTTGCACACCAGACTCGCGCTGTAAAAGACACCGATGAGCACAGAGCGATTCATATTGACAGCGTGCCGGGAGTCTCAGGGAGGTAATTTGGGCGAGGAGCTGCGTTTTCGAGCGTGGAGAAGAGGAGAAGAGGAGATGTGCCATTTTGGCAGGATGGATGGATGGGCTACTTGATCATAGACACGGGAATATCAATCAGTCAGTCAGATCAAATCAGCCTGAGATGGATCTCCGAGACTGCGAAGGGTTGGCTTCCTTGACTGCTGAGATGAGTTGAAACTTGAGTCCCAATTCTAGGAATTGGATTGAGGGGTGGTGGGTTTCGCTCTCCATCGATTGATTGACCGATCGATTGATGGATTGATGCCTTGCGGGTGCGGTCCTCGCGGGGGAGATAGATATATTTAGATAGATCCTCAGGCAAATCTTCAGGTTTTTGGGTAGTAAAGCAAGACAGGAGCAGAAGAGCATAATAATACTTACTGGAATCACCGAGACGGACGTGGGGAAGATGGGGTGGGCTATAGAGGCTTACTTACTTTACTCTCCCTATACCTCCTTACCTGTGAGATTACAGGTTGTTAAAGGAGATGGTTAGGTTGAATGGAATTGTGGTGAGTGGATTGGGGAGGATTTAAGCCGAGCTCTTTTCCTGCCCTGCCTCGTCTGATATATGTAAGTATGTATGTGTGTGTGTGTGTGCATCTCGTTAGCGATGGCCCGGGCTCTATAGTTCTACTACGTAAGTTGATGGCTTTGAGACGGATTGAATACTCGGGATGGGATGGGATGGGATGCGAGGGGTGCTCTATCTGAGGCAGAGCGCTCGTTGTTCTCGGTGAGAAGAAAGTTTATTTTATTTTATTTGGGGCGGCCGAGTTCAAAATCAACTCTAAGTATCGACCGAGCAGTCAGTCAACCCTACTGTTACAGGTAGGTAAGTAATCACTAACCGAATCTAAACTTTTGTCAACGGGCCTTCCCGATTCCGCAAGCTCGGCTAGTTGTAGTTAGTAATAATACTACGTAAATACTACGTAGGTGACTTTTTCTCCAACTACTACGTCCCAGGCGTAAGTAGTAGTATTACCCTCCTGAGAGTACGAAACAGGGGTTCTTACTAAGGGTAATAGGATTTTCGAAAGGGTCGAAGCAGATCGGAAAAGCGTCCTATTGGATCGGGAATATAGCAAAAGCGTGTCGAACAGGTTTAAATTTTGATTGATAGGTATTTTAACGCTGCTTTTTCCTATCTTTTCTTTCCTAGCTTTATCTTTCGATCTTAACCCGATCGAGACGATTTGGTTATGGATGAGGGATTACATTCAAGAAAAATATCTTGAAGTTCATTGAAGCTATTTTCGATTAGGAATAGTTGTTTAAAAAGCGTAGGATTCGATAGAAAAAGATAGGATTGTTGCTTCAATTAAAACTATAAGATAGCGTTGTTTAAACGTGATTGCGGAGGAAGAGTGGTAGGTACTACGTACATAGCTTAGTAAAATAAAAGCTTATAAATATGGCGAGAATCTATCCTCGAGGGGTAATCCTTACGCTTATACCGTGGTAATTGACTGGATTCGGTGCAGAAACGTCTTGGCCTGCGTTTCGTTCGAGAAAATACCTATACTATATAGGAGGTAGCTGGAGGATCCTGCTGATATACTACTAGTTGTATAAAAACTACCTAGCTAGATAGATGGTTTAAGTAAATAATTTCGAACAGCCGGCAGCACGAATGTGGCGCCGACGATGATGATTACAATATATTTTATATATGGAATGAGAGCTGGGGACAATACAGCATCAGAATATTAGATTTCTGAAACCGTCCTTCTCAATAGTAGGAGTTGACCTCACCATTTTAGGGCCCCTCCCAAAAGTAGGCGCAAAAAATGCGTCTAACGCAAAGAATGTATTTGTCTTCGCACTTTTCGTAACATCACTCGTCTTATAAAATATAGTTGATTATAAAGAATTGATAATATAATATTTAACGATAGTGATAATTTATATGATCGATTTATAATACGCTAGCTTATTCATGTATTGTTTATTCAAGGTTAAAAATAGTGGAACTCGGCTGCGGAAATGCCCGTTGTTGGATCGGAAGCGGCTCAATTTTACTACGTACTACGTACATGGTTTCGGATCTAGATCGACGGAGTAGATCAAGCCAAGAGCATTAAATAAAAGCTACTCCGCACGTTGATCTTTTTAATGTACAATTAATAAATAAGATTGTAATATTATAAATATTTAGCTGAGCTTAAATTCGATTTTATATTTGGGATGATCTTCGATATATAAATGAAAACAATTTCGAATGCGGTTACTAATATTAGTAAGATGAATATGATCAAGGAAATAAAGATACCCTTTCGCATCTACATTGGACTAAATGCACCACATTCCTTACCATCGCCTTCTTTATCATCTTCTTTTTCTACAAGATCATTCCTCTTCGTCAGCTCGTTTTACCGAAAGACTTGTAAACCTTTCCGACTTTCTCTTCAAAGTTATGTTGCTATCGCAAGCTACCTGCTCGATCTTGCTTGCCTTAAGCTTTCTCTTTGATAAAGCCTATGGAAGAAAAATTATCGCTTACCGAACTGTTTCCCCCGTAAGTCTGACTTGATTTATAAAACATAAGCTTATATTAATAACGCGAATTATAGATGGAAGCCACGAAAATCAATCTAAAAAAAAGGCCTTATAGAGATGAAGCGGTCGATAGAGAAAACGCACGCTGGAATTTACTAGGAAATGGTCTCTATACGGGTAAGTTGATTTATATTTATAAATCGTTACTTACTTATGACGCGGAGTTGATAATGTAAGTAGTAAACGAACCTGCTGGCTGGGGTGCTTGGATCGACTCGTGGCATTGTGCTATCGAAGCGGATATGGACAAGGTTAAAGAAGCTAGCAAAGTATGGATCCCAACGTCTTACACGGGAATCACTAAGGACGGTAAGATTACCGATGAAAAGAGATTATGGGGCTTTCAGACCGCAAACGAAGATAAGGTTTTGGAGTATATCAAGTTGATGGGCGTGCCAAACCCGAAGAAAGCATTACGCTTTGCACATATCCCACATCTCCCCGGAAAGATACAAATGGTTATTCCCACTGACACGATAAACAACAATGATTTTGATTTTAAGGCTGAATGCTGGGAAACAGCAGAAGAGCTACAAGCCGCTTTTTCCGAAACCGTTGATTGGAAGAAATGGGGTATTATTGGAAGTCCTGACATTGGGGATCCTATACCGATTCCTGAAGAACCTGTCGTGGAGGATCCTGCACAGGGAGGTACCTTTAAAGAATGGAAAAAGACGAGCTGGCCAGGGCGGTTGTTGCACTGCATGAGAAACCCATGCGATTGGTAACTTTCCTCCTTGGTAACATGTACGTAGGAAGATAGATCAAAAGTATACCCAAAAATACCCCTTAAAAAATTATGTATACATACATATTTCACATAACGAGAATTCGGTCAATCAATATAAGACGCTTTAGCTTGCGCGCTGAGAAGTAGAGAATTCCCTTTGTTGCGGGCATTCGTAGAGGAATGCGGCGCGCCGAAGGCGATAATGATTAAGCAGGAGACTGTCAGTGGTCGATTGCTGTGATCGATATTTGGTTTATTGACGTTTGATTAAGAACACGAGCATGTAAGTATAACCATGATCATTAAAATGCAAGACACAATTTATTATTTTTTATGTTAAAAGTAGGACTTGGCGTCGCAACTTGAAGGGCCCTTCCTTGAAGTGAGCGGAAACAATTATGTCCCGGGAAATAATTATATCCCGCGTCACTTATGAGATAACAAAGAAGTCAAATGTATATTTTGATTAAAACATTAATTAAATAACTTCATATGTATATATGTTTCTTATTATCTTATTAGATCTTAATCAAGCCGAAAAAAATCAACTATATCGCGTGTTTTTCTAAATCAAAAGAAGTTATACCGGTAGATTAAAGCTGCGGCGAATCCGATTTACTTTCTTCAATCCTTTATTCAATATTTTCTTATCTTTTCAGTACTTGTTGGTATATCCTCATATGTGTGCACACGTTGAGACTCGATGCGAATAGCAGGTTGTGGTATTCGTTGTTTTGTTAAGTCTAAAGGGGGAAGCTATTCCTGGGTGGAGTGTGGTTACAGGTGAGGGCGTAGTGCACGGGCCACTGCCAATATCTCCGATACCGAGTCCTTATATCCGATACCTCTGATCCCTATGACCGTCATTCCCACAGTATTCTTTTTATTTCAAGTAATCATAATATACGCAGTAATATTAATTCGCTTATAATCTCCGTCGTTAACGCTGATTTAAGCATAAGCTAATAGGCTTCATTTAATTCGAAAGCAGCATTTATTCAAAAAGACTTAAAAGTCGATCGGATACAAACCCTTTGCGAACTTAGCAAGCTCTTCTTCTTAAAGCAATTTTTAACGCAGCTTCATCGTTTGCAATTGGCTTCTTCGTTTGCAATTGGGAAAAGAAAAGAAAAGAAAAATATCAGCTTTCATTTCTTTTAATACAAGCTGCTTTTCGCGGTCTCGAATAAAGATTTCTCGTTTAAATAAAGTATAGAAGAAAATCTCTGGAGTTTATTAAAAGTGTTGGATCGCCGGAAGCGAACGTTCGCAACTTCGTAACACTAACGTGCCGCGCACATACCACGGTACAGGCCTAAGTATTACCCCTCGAGGGTGCTTCAAAAGTTTAGTTTCCACTTTAAACCCCCTGGTTTCCCTACCCTCGAGGGGTAATACTTACGCCTGGGACGTAGTAGCTTCTTGCAGTTGCAAAACAATAGGTAAATATGGTACTTGATTTCTGTGTGTTCCCCAAGGTTCAGGGTAGCTGATTCCTTCGATACTATTAGAAGGAATTACCTGCACTAGCTGTATAATAGTGTTTACAACGAAGTTGGGGGTCCCTTGAGTGTAGGCCACGCTAAGCGATGCAAGCTCATCCCGTGCCTGAGATACCCGAACCTGCCACCTCACCCAACTACTACGTCGGGTCGATATTGAGGTACCGATAAATAGAAAAATGCATTACTTTAATCTTATCTTTTCGATCGCCGAGTTGCTATACTTAATCTTAATATGATTGAACATGTCGAAGCAAAGCGAAAAGAAAGAATTCGTTAAATTATCCGTTATTCGAAGAAAAAAGTTTCTTTATATTCGAGCATATGCAATCCCGTCTCTTTTGTACTCTTTTTATTATACTCATCTAATTTGTTTCAAATTTAAAAGAGACTAATAAGCTGCACTCTACGTAGCATCCCGAAAAGCGTATTTGATATTGCGAGATATGACAATTTGCTCGCGAAATCGTAAGAAAATCTCGTGTAAAACGATATAATAATATACGTAGTATTCAGCTTTAAAGCTCCAAGTGATATTCAATGATCGCATATCATCAACTACATTTTTAGATACGAAAATGTTCGAATTTTATTAAGGTACGCAAGTAAATATTTAATACACAATATTGTTTTCAAAGGTTGTTACTTCTTTGCAATTTGATATTATAAAGAAATCGGTGCGGGACACAGTCGTTTCGCAGGACATACATAGTAGTACGTAATTGTTTCGCTTACTTTGAGGAAGAGTCCTTAAAGTTGCGACGTCAAGTCCCACTATTACTACTAAATCAAAGCTGAAGCTGCAGCTGAAGCACTGGATTGAGTTTTGACTAGCCATAAGCAAGTCAAGCCGAATCAAGTATCCGCAAGCCGAGATCGCATTTCCTCATGCAAATACAATTACAAACAAAGTACGCCCAGAAAAGGCAAGTCGGCAGGATCAGATCAATTAATGATTTGACTTTTTGAAACGGTCGGTCTATTGATCATCGTACACGAGCTCTTGGTCCTAGCGCTGACTTTCTACCTACTCCGTATATTTAAGGTAATCTCCGTAATAATCTCAGCCCGGCCACGAAATCCCTTCCCCGTCGCTAAAAGAAAAGAGCTTAGAGGCGGAAAAAGGCTCTTTGAAGCGAGAAAAGCAGGATCAGACGATAGGGAAAAGAGTAGGATTTGTTTCACGGTATGTGGTGCGGCCAATGAGGCAAGAGAAGCGCACGGCTTGCATACAACTATTCGTATTGCTGTATGGTGCCCCTCTCCGAATCAGACTTTCGTACTTGTCCGTACTTGTCCGTACTTGTCCGTACTTGTCCGTCTCTGGGGGATTTGTTGTGGCACACTACGCGGGCACATAAGATGGCAACCCCTGCTGGCTTTATCTGATATGCCACTCGGGAGAGGTTAGAGGCAGTTACAACAATACCTCCCTTGCCGTCGACGTGCATACATAACACCCACGCCTTTTCTTCTTCTATTTCCCCTCTCTTCTCCTCAACCGTCTCCTCTCCTCTGCGCGATATGCTTCTCCTTTGACTTTTTGCCTTTTTTTGTGCTAATTGATCTTGATAACTAGTCTCGGTAAAAGAGACTAAGTGGGTATATATACAAGACGCCTGAAAGACTCGGGCCAACACCTTCCTTTATTTCGACTCGGGTCGCAATCATGGCCTTCGTGTCTGCTTCGCGCAAAATCGTGATCCTGGGACTGGTATTCACATTCATCGTTCTCTTGATCAGCGGCGCTGCTTACAGGCATCCGGACAAATTCGATATCTCCCACGTGAATGACCGAGTCCATGAGATCCTCCATCCGATTGTCGATGAGTCCAAGGACGAGCCCGAAGCGAAGGAGCAGCTGATTCCGACGCCGGTCCCTGAGCCTCACGACGAACCAGTAGTGGAGGAGCCGAGTTCGAAGCCAGTGGAGGAGCCGAGTTCGAAGCCAGCGGAGGAGCCGAGTTCGAAGCCAGCGGAGGAGCCGAGTTCGAAGCCAGTGGAGGAGCCGGGTTCGAAGCCAGAGGAGGAGCCGAGTTCGACGCCAGAGCCTAAGCCAACTCGTCTTCCGGAATATGTAGCTGGACTCAACCAGGTCGGCAAACACGTCCACGTCCGCCCCAGCCCACCCACGCCCAAAGATCAAGGTTTCGCTGGGTGCAACTATCCCATCGTGATTCACGTTTCACCGGATGCTCACTGTACCGGTGTCCTGGCTCTGGTAAGTGCATCTTCCCGCCCTCGAGTTCGGTGAGCTTCCGGACGCACGCGGTTGTACAGACGTGCTCTCGGAGGTGACACCTCCAGACATGCCCCCCCAAGTTTCCAAACCTTTCTCGAGGTCAGATCTGACCTTGATGCAGTACGGCTCTGTGGTGCGCAACGTCCTCCTTCAGCCCGAGAAGCTGAAAGGGCACACTTGCGTGCACGTGACATTTGCCGACCCAAATTTGGAGACCATAGAAGAAATGTATCGTTGGGTCCCTCAGAAGAATCCGTATACGCACGTCCATGACTGCGCCCTGCTCGATACCACGCCAGCCCTGAACGATGTCGTTCCCATCCGGTTCCAAGCCCTCCCCGTCATCGAGAAACCCAAGATCATGCAAGCCGGCCTGGCGACTTGGGCCGTCGCGCTCAACAAAGTGCACTCCTGGGGCCTCGACCTGTACCCGCAGATCCTGATCCTCGACGCCGACTCGTTCATCATCACCGATCTCGACAAGATCTTTGACGAGTCGTCCTCCGAAGCCACCATCTCCGCTGCTCCGGATCAGTTCAAAAACTGTGGTGACCGGGGCCGGATCAACGGCGGCATGATACTACTGCGTCCGTCGCGATACTTCCACATCTCCGCACTCGAGCTCGTCTACGACGAAGCCGGCTCGTGCGCGTCGGGAAAGTGGCAACAGAGCGAGCAAGAGCTGCTCAACTGCATCTGTGGCGCGCAGGGTCCCGCCAGAGGAAGCCGGCCCGAGTTTACCTGCAACATCATGCCGCTGTACAATTCGGTCTGGCCGCGCAACTTCGGGTGCTCGGCAGCGAACGTGGTGCCCATCAGAAGCATCCACATCACGGCGAATACGAAGCCGTGGCTGGTAGACGACAACCGGCTGCACGAGCGATTCGACTACGCCTTTTGGGGATGTTTGCGGGATGCGAGTCGGAACAATGACGTTGCGGCTTTGCAGAAATGTGACGTTCCGCCTTTAGAGGAGACGAGACTGGTCACGAATGAGCTACCGCCCAGTGGTGTTTAGAGGGGTCTGGCAAGAGCGAGGTGTTTGGAGTTTCCTAGGGTATTTTGTGATCTGGGATAGGATGTTGAGCGTTATATTCTTATCAGCTTTTGGTACAGGCTTGAAAGGAGCTGTTGTAGGATGTTTCGATACGGGCACCACGCTCAAGGCTACAAGCGAAGAAGCTAGCTAAAAGCCCAAAGGGAGTTGGGAAATATCTGTAATTTCTTAGAATCATACCCTTTTTTAAAAGTCTTCGAAGAGTGCTCTGTATAGATATCGTGTAGCTTCCCGGTCCCGGGTCTTCATAAGTTGTTTTTTCGCTTAATGCCTCGCAGACTTCACAGATCAGCCTGGTCGGAAATTCAAATCCCCATATATCTTCAAACTCGATTGCTCAGAAAGCAGAAGAAATCAACAATGCGTGAGGTTGACTGATAAGCGCCTTTAACAGCGTGCGAGCAAGAATTTTCGCTGTAATAGCTTATCAGAGAGTAAGCAGGTTTTTAAATGAAGGCTTGCCACCTTCGTAGCTCTCAACTTCTCTTCACCCCTCATAAAAAACAGCTTATAACTCTCATAGAACCATATAAATCTTCTTCCTTTTTGTTTAGCCCAGCTGCCGATCGTTATTATAGATCAATGGCAATCCGCCCCCCCCCCCCCTCCTTCTCGTTTTCATATCCGTAGAACCACCCCAGCCTAGGCTAGCCATCCATCTGTCTCTTCTCGGACCAATATCTCAACACCATTTTACTTGAGATCCCAAAGCCACATCAACAAAATCCAATGAAAAGTAGAGCGAGATCAATCATGTCATACATATCGTATTGCTGCGCAGCTTCTCCCAGAAGCGAAGCATTTAATCTGGGTCAATCCCCGCCAGATACAAGTAAGCCATCAGAACAGCCAAAGATAATTTTTCGAAAAGTAAGGCTTTGATGTTATTGATACATCGGAAATATAAATAAGCTAGCTACAGGATGGAGATTTTGGTTTCGCTATACTAGGTAGGTAAGCAATAGCAACAGGTATTTTGCAGTCCTCGTAGGGCTGGCATTAAGCTTTGTCATGAGAAGAAGCGAGCTGCAATATAAAAAGCATTGATAGTATAAAGAATAAATGATGTAATTTGAGTCGCGAAAGATATAATTTTTGCCATTTGCGATATATGCTAGTATTTGTCGAAATTTCATAGCCCTGGCCCGGTTTCAATTATATCCTCCACGGACGGCCCTTCGCATGTTCACTGGGATCTCCCCTTCCCGTGGCTGAATTTGGTACTCGGAATGACCGCTGATTTCCCTGAGAAAGGGCCGAGATTTGGTATAGGCTAATTGATGATATCTTATCACAAGCAAAATCGCATAGAGTTCAGGTGCCTGGGTGCTCTACGCAATATCAGGACTTCCCTGTAGCGCCTCTTTGAAGTGAAAATCATTCCTGCTATCTCCCCAGTTTATCAATGAAGGAAGAAAAAACAGGAAAAAACAGGGAAGACAAAATCGGAACGCGGGGAAGGAGAGTCCCTGCAGCTTTCTGCAAGAAAGGGAAAAGAGACGGGTGCATGCATCAAAGCCAATGGATTTCTTCTTTCGGTTTCACTCACCGGCACCATGATGTTGATCGAGAAATGCAGAGCTAGAAGGGATGGCCTCCCGCACCACGGAGCAAGCAAAAGGAATAAATCAGAATTGAAACTTCTTCTTCATTTTTTGATTCAGGACATGGAATTTTGACAAGTGCGTAATGAAAGAAGCTTGAGCATGGAAAGGAAATGTGGCGCACGGCTAGCTTCCAACCCACATATTCGTAAACAAGTGGCGGTGCAGCAGCCCGGCTGGCTGCCAACTTCGGCCCGTGTTTTTTATCGTGACGCAATAAGTTGCAAGAGCTAGACCCCCTGCATATTGCATTACGTCGGTGCCGTTGATAATGATTGATTCTTTGGAGACGAGGAAGAAGAAGGAGTGATAGGCAGTAGTATAAAGCGTGTTTGCGTTGCTGTGTTGGGCCGCTTTCTTGTTGTCTCTGTCTTCTTCCAAGTGTCATTGATTGCCGAACCAGCCAAAGCCATTCAGTCGATACATATATCTGAACTCTTGCCCCTCGCTGCATCACTTACATAGAAAAAGGAAACGACGACAACCTGAGAGAAAATGGAGAACGCAGCGATAGCAGTAAGCAAGCTGTTCGGCGGGACTTCTGAGTCCGAAAAGAAGGAGAGCGAGAAGGAGGAGAAGAAGGAGAAAGCAATTAGCAAGAGAGCGACGAGATCAACTCGTTCCAAAGACGTCATCTCCACGGCTTCGGAAGCAGCCGAAGACGAGGAGAATTCCGTTATTGAGAAAGCTGCCACCGACGACGGTGAAGGGGACACAACGGTCGAGACGGAAGTAGCGCCCGCAGTCGAACACACGCACGTCCAGAAAACGCATGAGACGCGCGAAAAGACTAGCGTCGAGAGGGAGATCCACCAGGATCACTACCACACGACGATCCAGCCGCTCACGAACTCGGTGGTTGTCCCTGAGAAGCACGATTACGTGCTTGAGGAGGAGGAGAGGGTAGTGGATAAGGATGACGGGAGGGCGAAGAAGAAGGCGAAGCGGGACATTGAGGAGGTGATCGGCGAGGGGGGTAGTAGGGACGTGGAGTTTGAAGAGGAGAAGGTTGTTGAGGAGGGAACGAAGGTCAGGGAGGTTGTGCATCATCATTTGCACGAGACGATCTTGCCGGTTATTGAGAAAGGTGAGTTGTCCCGTAAACTGTGGTGTTGAGAACCAAGGAGAGCACTTTGTAGGAGCCCCTGGCTGATTCTGAGCAGAGGTCATTGTTCCGTCTGTTACGCACAAGAAGGTGGAGGTCAAAGAGGTGATCCAGGAGAACTCCAAGCATCACGGAGTGACGACGAATGCCCCCCTCTCGCAGGAGGAGTTCGAGAAAAGGCTTGAGAAGGCGGAGAGGTGATGGGGTCAAGTTCTGTCCCGCTAAGGTTTGAGATCTCGTGGTGAGCAGGTCAGCGAAGGAGTTTATTTATTATGGTTCAACTCAACTCAAATCAACTCTTTGGTATCAACAGAACAGATCAAGTCGGAATTGTGCCATGTGCCTAGAGCTCCACGCCTAGGCACCTTGGTTACCAACCATAGCTGGATGGCATAGATTTCTGAGCTCAGCCAATGTTTGGATTGTGTGGAAAATGGGATGATTGTGAAGAGTATAGATAGAAAGTTATCGAGTCGGTGTCCCGAGAAAAGATTGATGTGCTCAAATGCATGGATGTGGAGGAGCGATTGTACAAAGAGCAAAACACGTGACTTCCAACTAGTACGTCACCGAGCTAAGCGAGCTCACTTTTTGCTGCCCAATGGAACTAACCCCATGGGATTTTTATTCTTGTGAAATGTGTCTGTAAAATCGAATTTCATCCACTGTTCCCCTGTGTACTCGACTCGAGATACCGACCTCGGTATTCAAGGTAGGTTTTCCCATTCTCCAAGTTATCGAAATCCTCAACCCGAAATTCCGACTGCTTTCTTTGGTTTTGGTCTAACGCTAGCCTGCGTTACCCTAGCCCCCCCCCACCACACACTCTTCAACCCCTCGTCTTATCGTCAGCGAATAAAGCCAACCCCCAAACCAAAATCAATCCACCTCAACCTCACAACCTCACAACCTCACAGCCTCACAACCTCACCACTCACACACCCATATCCATCGTAGACCCTCGAATCCGACACCATGGTTTCTGCTTCCAAAGCCGCTCGGGATGCCAAGAGGGCTGCAGAGGGAAAGCCTGCGAAGAAGACCGTCGCCTCTCGCTCCAAGGCGGGGTCGAAGGACGCTTCTAATGTCTCTTCAGACGTCGACGAAGATGCATCCGCTTCATCCTCCAAGAACCAGGCCGAGATCGACAGGCTTGCCTCTCAGCTCGATAAGCACGGTCTCTCGGATCGTGTTACAACTGGTGTCCTCAGCTCCCTGAAAGCCAGCAGGGATGTCAAGATCACCTCCGTCTCCCTCGTTTTCCACGGCCGAGTCCTCCTCACCGATACCACCATGGAACTCACCTACGGTCGCCGTTACGGTCTCCTGGGTGAGAACGGTTGCGGAAAGTCGACTCTGCTCAAGGCTATCGACAAGCGCGAGTTCCCAGTCCCGGACCACGTTGATATCTACCTGCTCAACGAGGGTGCTCCTCCTAGCGACCTCGGTGCGCTCGAGTGGGTCGTCCGCGAGGCCGAGAACGAGATGGAGAGACTCGATAAGCTGGCGGAACAGATTCTTGAGGATGATGGACCCGAGTCGCCCCTCCTGATGGATCTCTATGAGGTAGGAATCACCCCACCACCAAAATATCGTATCCGCTAATAGCATTAAGCGTATGGAAACCATGGATCCCTCTACCTTTTCTACCCGCGCATCGCAGATTCTGACTGGTCTCGGCTTCAACAAGAGCACCATCACAAAGAAGACCAAGGATATGTCCGGAGGATGGCGGATGCGTGTCGCGCTTGCCAAGGCTCTCTTCGTGAAGCCCTCTCTCCTCCTCCTCGATGACCCAACTGCACATTTGGACTTGGAGGCCTGTGTGTGGTTGGAGGAGTACCTGAAGAAATGGGACCGAACCTTGGTTCTCGTCTCTCACTCTATGGATTTCTTGAACGGTGTCTGCACCAACATGATTGATATGCGCTCTAAGCAGCTCATCTACTACGGAGGTAACTACGACTCCTACTCGAAGACCCGATCCGAGCAAGAGGTCAACCAGATGAAGGCCTACACCAAGCAACAAGACGAAATTGTGCACATCAAGAAGTTCATCGCTTCCGCTGGTACGTACGCCAATCTGGTCAGACAAGCCAAGTCCCGGCAGAAGATTCTGGACAAGATGGAGGCAGATGGTCTGATCCAGAAGGTCGAGGAGGACCGTGTCTTCACTTTCCGATTCGCCGATGTGGAGAAGCTCCCTCCCCCGGTCTTGTCGTTCGACGACGTGACCTTCTCTTACTCTGGTAACACCAAGGACGATCTATACCGGCACCTTGATCTCGGTGTGGACATGGACTCCAGAACTGCTTTGGTTGGACCTAACGGTGTGGGGAAGTCTACCCTCCTCCGCCTCATGACCGGAAAGCTCTCGCCTACGAGCGGTGTCGTCTCTCGCCATACTCATTTGAAGATGGGGGTCTACTCCCAACATTCGGCCGAGCAACTTGATCTTACCAAGTCTGCGCTTGATTTCGTCCGCGACAAGTATGCCGACAAGTCCCAAGACTACCAATATTGGAGACAACAACTCGGAAAGTACGGTCTGTCTGGTGACTCTCAGACGGCCTTGATGGGCACTTTGTCCGAGGGACAGAAGTCCCGAATTGTGTTCGCTCTCTTGGCGATCGACGGACCCAACATGCTGTTGTTGGACGAGCCTACTAACGGTCTGGACATTCCCACCATTGACAGTTTGGCCGATGCTATCAACGCCTTCACTGGTGGTGTTGTCGTCGTTTCCCACGACTTCAGGTACTTCCCCGTATCCTTGGTGGTATGATTAGAGATGAATGTTAACGCGCGATAGGTTGCTTGACAAGATTGCCAAGGATATCATGGTGTGTGAGAACCAGACGATCCGCAAGTGGCCAGGAGGAATCGGCGAGTACAAGAACCACCTGAGAAAGAAGATGATGGCTGCCGGAGCTGTGTAAATTGCTACACTCCCCTGACTAGGCCACAAACAAACCCCAAAAGTCCATGAATTTTCGGCGACCGGCATAGAGCGTCCTGTAGTTGTGGTGGTGGTGGTGGTGGTGGTGGTAGAATTGGATGCTGGGCTCACCTGGGACGGAGGCATGACCACGGTCCTGCTAGTAGGGGGGTAGGGGGGGGGGAAGGATATGCCGGATGGCGGATGGCGGATGGCGGGCATAGAATGCAGTGTTGCTTTAGAGGCGTCATGTTGAATTGAATCTTGGAATTCCATCTGATCCGGGCCATGGGAAGTGAATTTGGTTTAATGCAGCCAAATGCAGCCCAATGCAGCCTAATGCAGCCAGAGGTGATGTGGGCGGGCTGGTCTTGGATGTACTACTAACTGGGAACTGGGAGACTGGGATTGGCGGTGCGGACCCACACCCAAAGTATCCACTAGTGCCGCGGGCCAATAAGTGGGGGGGGATGCCACTCGGCTAGGCCTAATGTAGTTGTAAGTAATGGTAAGTACTACCGGTACGTACGTAGTACTAGGTACAGTACGTAGGTAGGTAGGTACCTAGTCAGTGGGAATCTGGAGATGAAAGGATGTGGGGAGAGTTCAAGACCGACCGACCGACCGACCGACCGACCGACCGACCGACCAGAGCAGAGCAGCGCAGAGCAGCGCCGCACCCACCACGAGAATGTGGTGCCAGGAATCAGCTCATCCCATGCGAAGTGTACCTATCCTACCTCCCTATCCCAAAATATTATCTGCTTGCATTTTCGGATACCTCACAACCCGATGCCTGATAGATATATGACCATATAAAATGGTTTTTTTTCTTTGGGGGAGGGGGGGGAGGGGGGTAGGGGTTCCTTTGGATATGTAGTATGTGGTGTACGGGATTGCATGCATTTTCTCGCTCGCGACGTCAACATGGACTTTTCTAGCCCCGGGCCTCTCTGGCTACCTAACCTTCCCCTTCCCAACTCTAAAGGGCTTCTCGCTCGACCAGACCACAAACAACTACAGTAACAACATTCAGTCCTTTACCCTTACTTCCTTCATCCTTCAGCTCACCTACTGAAATCTACGACCGCGCTCACAACCATCCTCACCCAGCTCAGCCCAGCCATTAGACGAATTCGTAATGCTTCACTTGTAGTCCAAATTCAAGTCCAAGTCCACGGCCAAGTCCAAAGGCCCAAATCCATCGCGACTGCCCATCGCCCGTCCTCATCCCCGTCCAGAAGATCCCCCCCCCCCAAATCCACATTGTCCAGCCAGCATCTGGAGCATCTGCAGCATCTGCGACTATCCAAACAAAAAAAAAATATATTATCCCAAAAAAATAACCCCCCCCAAAAAAATCCAAGAAAAAAAAAAAAAATCCCTCCCTCATGGATCCCCATCGTATACATCACCCTTGAATCGCGAATGCTGCTCTAGACCATGTATCGACACGAGGGAGCCCCCAAGAGGGACAGCGAGGTCAATGGCGCGACTCGCACCACCACCACCACCGACAACAAAAACAACCATACCAACACCTTTGACCCGACTTCCCCTTCGCAGGCCGAATTACCTACCTCCCATTCACCCCCCAAGAGCTCTGTCCATCAATTCGACAATCCCTACCACTCTCCTACTCCGGCGCCGTTGACAGCGACTGCAAAATTGGCACCAGCTCCTCACATTCCAGATCTGCCGGCGTCCCCCGGAGCTTTGACGACTTCAACTTCTCGCTATCAGAGCGAGCGGGACTACCAGGCGCCGCCACGAGACAAGCCGACTAGTAGTTACTACGATCCGACCTCCGACTCGAGCGAGAGGAGACCCTCAGACAGCCTGGCGAAGTGGCATGAAGGGCAAGGACAGACTCAGACTCCTCAGGTGGGTGAAATCAATCAACGCCGCCGCTCCTGGTTGCGTGAGAATGACGCTGACGAATGGGTGCCATTGCTAACGTCCTATTGACCAGACTCGAGAATCCTACAAGTACCCATCATCGACCTCCGAAAGCTATCACAACAGCGGGACGTACGCGTCTCCAGCGGCGCCGTCCTACCCCCCTCGATCGCCAGGCTCGCATGCCCATCCGCGCCGTTCTTCCATAACTCAGTCGCCGAGGATATCTACGATGGCCTCACCGACCGTGAGGCACAACGGAGTGGTCATGGGCAGTCCCGCAGTGAGTGCCCCACCGGTCGCGACGGTATGTGACTCCTATCCTACAACCTTCGCGGATTCAACTAACCTCTCACCAGACCCCCAGCCGACCAGCCGACCCCATGGCCATGTCTAGCATCTTGTCCAACGCAGACCCGATCCCGAAGCCAACACCGCCTCCCAGCGTTCCGAAACCCCGCAAACCAGCACGACAAAGTATCGCAGCCATGGCAGAGAACGTCTCCAGAGATAGCTCTCGCCAGTCGTCCGCCGCTCCTGCCCACACACCCGTCTCGCGAGTCCCGGCCAAGCGAAAAGCAAACGGAGAGCCCAAGAAGAGCCCGCCGAAGCCCAAGCAGCTGACCAAGGAGCAAGAAAAGGAGATTCAGGCGACCATGGCCCAAATCGAGGCCGAGGCAGAGGAGTTCGAGATGGCCGACGCGGAGGACCACAAGATGCACTACCAGAAACGCCTGCTGAAGCGGAAACTCGAAGTCGAGGCGACCGAAAATGTCAAGTCGAAGCATCGGAGAACGCTCTGGGGAACCAAGCAGAGCCAGAAGTTCGAGCGCCATGCCCTGCAAGGCGAGGATCGTTACAAGGCGATTCATCATGATGCCGCGGTCTCTACTGTCCAGGAGAAGGAGATTGCAAACGAGAAGGAGCGGAAGAAGGAAATGCAGCGAAAGCGTCGCCGGGAGAAGACGGTGGCTGCCAATATCGAGCAGAAGGAGGCTGCTATAGCCAAGGCCCAAGCTGCTACCGACGAGCAAGAGCGGCTGAAATATTTCAAGGACGCACAGCGAGCCGAGAAGAAGGCTCAGCAGACGAAGCTGATATTGGCCAGAGGAGATAACCCGGGTGTGGATCTCCGCGCGGTCTCCCCTCTGGAGCCGAACCTACTCGGAGGTGTCATGTCCACCTTCACAGCTGCCGATCCTGAGGCCAAACCCAGGTCGAAGCGTGGTGGAGCCCGGTTGCGCAAGTCGAAGGAGCAGAAGCAAGCCGAGAAGGACTCGGCGGAAGCCGCTCAGGCTGCGATCGATGCTGGAGAAGACCCGGCACCTCCGCCGCCTCACCGAGAAGAGCCAAAGATCAGACTCAAGATCAATAATAAAGAGCCAAAGGAACCACGAGACGACTCACCGCTACCAGTAGTAGCCTTCGAACCGTTTGTTTCAAAGGGGTACAACCAGATTTACGACCAAATTTGGCGAGACCTGGCTCGGAAAGATGTCAGCAAGACCTACAAGACGGCGGTAGAGTCAAACGCGGTCAAGACATCAAATTTGAAGAAGACGGCGATCCTGGCATCCAAGGAAGCAAAGCGGTGGCAACTCAAGACCAACAAGGGTACCAAGGATCTTCAAGCCCGGGCCAAGCGTGTCATGCGTGAGATGATGTCGTTCTGGAAGCGCAACGAGCGTGAAGAACGTGATCTCCGACGCGCGGCTGAGAGGGCAGAGATTGAGAATGCGAAGAAGGCTGAAGCTGACCGCGAGGCCAACAGACAGAAGAGGAAACTCAACTTCTTGATCTCGCAGACCGAGCTGTACTCCCACTTCATCGGCAAGAAGATCAAGACGGATGAGGTTGAGCGGTCAACGGATCATCCCGATGTAGCTGTGGCCGAGAAGGATCCCAACCCACACTCTGTCGATGTACCTGACCACGATGGGACGGCGGCTCCTGCCCGGGTTACGAATTTCGAGGATCTGGACTTCGATGCGGATGACGACTCGGTGCTCAAGGCTGCTGCCATGGCCAACGCTCAGAGTGCTATCCAGGAGGCTCAGAACAAGGCCAGAGCTTTCAACGAATCAGATGAGGCGCCGGCGATGGACGAGGAGGGAGAGATGAACTTCCAGAATCCCGCTGGAATGGGCGACGTCGATATAGAGCAACCGAAGATGCTCAATGCCCAGCTCAAGGAGTACCAACTCAAAGGTCTCAACTGGCTGGTCAACCTCTATGAGCAGGGTATCAACGGTATCCTGGCCGATGAAATGGGTCTTGGAAAGACGGTTCAGTCGATATCCGTCATGGCATACCTGGCAGAGAAGCATGGCATCTGGGGTCCGTTCTTGGTTGTTGCACCGGCCTCTACGCTTCACAACTGGCAGCAGGAGATCAGCAAGTTCGTGCCGACGTTGAAGGTGCTGCCCTACTGGGGCTCTGCGGCCGATCGAAAGGTGCTGCGGAAGTTCTGGGACCGCAAGCACATCACCTACACGCAAGATGCTTCATTCCACGTTCTCATCACCTCTTATCAATTGATCGTATCCGATGTCGCCTACTTCCAGAAGATGAAGTGGCAATATATGATCTTGGACGAAGCTCAAGCCATCAAGAGCTCCAGCAGTTCTCGATGGAAGAGCCTTCTCGGCCTCCACTGTCGAAATCGTCTCTTGCTTACGGGTACGCCCATCCAAAACAACATGCAGGAACTTTGGGCCTTGCTCCACTTCATCATGCCTAGCTTGTTCGACTCTCACGACGAGTTCAGCGAATGGTTCTCCAAGGACATCGAAAGCCACGCGCAGAGTAACACGAAGCTCAACGAGGACCAACTGAAGCGTCTGCACATGATCCTGAAACCTTTCATGCTTCGTCGTGTCAAGAAGCACGTCCAGAAGGAGCTGGGGGACAAGATTGAGCTCGACATCTTCTGCGACCTCACATACCGTCAACGCGCCTATTACAGCAACCTCCGAAACCAGATCAGCATCATGGATCTTATCGAGAAGGCTACGATTGGTGACGACAACGACACGGGTACCCTGATGAACTTGGTGATGCAGTTCCGAAAGGTCTGCAATCATCCTGATCTGTTTGAGCGTGCTGAGACGACATCGCCGCTCTCGTTTAGTCACTTTGCCGAGACGGCTTCGTTTATGCGTGAGGGTCCCACGATCAATGTCGCGTACTCCAGTCGCAACTTGATCGAATACAAGCTTCCTCGCTTGATATGGCGCCAGGGTGGTAGGCTGGACATGCCGGGGCAGGATAACGACAAGGCTGGGTTCAGAGGGAAATACTTGGATCAGCTGATGAACGTGTTTACTCCCGAGCATATACGCGAGACTTCTAAGGGCAGCGGAGCATTCTCGTTCCTTCGATTTGCGGATTCTTCTGTTGAAGAGGCATCCAAGGCTTCTCGCACAGGCGTCTTCTCTCGGGCTGTGAATCTTGCAAAGAAGCCTCGTCGATTGGGCCCCATGACCATAATCTACGACGAGGAGGAGGACAAGAACTTCACACCCGGGCAAGCAATGCTCAACATCGTCGACCGGAATGATCGCCAGCCATTGGCTAGTGTGACTACTGAAGGCTACCTGGACAAGCTGCTCAATGTAGCCAAGGAGATCTTCACAGCGTCTGGCCTGAGCCGACTGGAGCAATGTGGCCGAGCAGCTGCTACTGCACCGCCGATTGAGGTCTTCTGCGCCAGTCGCGGTGCGGTTATCGAGAAGGAAAATACGATGTTCAACATCCCAGTTCGCCGTGCCCTGTATGGGCCTTCGCCAGTGGAAGAGAAGGCATTGATCACCTCCAAGATACCTCTTCCATTCTGGCCAACCGAAAAGATGCTCCCCGCGCCAACATCTGAGAAGCAACGCTTCACCAACATCCTCGTTCCCTCGATGCGCCGCTTCGTTACCGACTCTGGCAAACTGGCTAAGCTCGATGAGCTCCTGTTCAAGCTGAAGGAGGGTGGTCACCGCGTGCTGCTCTATTTCCAGATGACCCGCATGATTGACCTCATGGAAGAATATCTTACCTACCGAAATTACAAGTACTGTCGTCTTGACGGATCCACCAAGCTCGAGGATCGCAGAGACACGGTCCACGATTTCCAGACCCGCCCCGAGATTTTCATCTTCCTGCTCAGTACCCGTGCTGGCGGTCTTGGTATCAATCTGACGAGCGCTGATACGGTCATCTTCTACGACTCCGACTGGAACCCTACCATCGACTCCCAAGCCATGGATCGCGCGCATCGTCTTGGCCAGACCCGCCAAGTTACCGTCTACCGCATGATTACACGCGGTACCATCGAAGAGCGTATCCGCAAGCGCGCCTTGCAAAAAGAGGAGGTGCAGAAGGTGGTCATGACTGGTGGATCAGGCGGTGGCGTTGACTTCAACACGAGGAGCAAGGAGAATCGGACGAAGGACATCGCCATGTGGCTCGTGGACGACGAAGAGGCTGCGGAGATTGAGCGCAAGGAGAGGGAGATTGCGGAGGCCGAGGCGGCTGCCCCACCCGAGAAGAAGAAAGGGCGGAAGAAGGCCAAGAAGAACGACGGGAGTGGCGGGGGAAGCTTGGAGGATCTGTATCACGAGGGTATGTGCCTCTCCTTCCCCGGCACTTGGGCACAGACGAACGTGGCTAACCGTTTCTGATTACAGGCGAGGGTCATTTCGATGACGGCTCCACCCGTCCTTCTGGGTCTGGGACTCCGGCCCCTGGCGCCGATGGCGAGGGCAAGAAGAGCAAGAAAGCGCGGAAGCCGAGCGCGAAGAAGGCGAAGACGGCGAAGCAGAGGCTTGCCATGGCTGATGGCGATGTCGATATGGGGGGTTGAGCGTGGGTGGGTGGCGTAGCGTGGAGAGAGGAGCCATGCGAAACGGAGGGGATTGATGCGGTGGCAATCAACCTTTCACTTACACACGCAACTCGCCCTTCTTGCATGATGGATGGATGTTTTGATAGAGCGTTGGGGGTGTCGAGGTGTGGAAATGAGGCGTCGGAAAGGCTGGGGAGGGAGAGGGGGGAGAGGTTAGAAAATAAGTTTCTTGTTCTTTTTTTCTTCATACTTTTTCATTTTTGTCTTTTTCCTCTTTCTAGAGAGAGAGAGAGAGAGAGTCTAGGAGAAACAGAAATGCTAGCTATGGCTTTGGCTTTGGACTTGGCTTTGGACTTGGCTTTGGACTTGGCTCTGGACTTGGACCTGGAATTTTGCCTTGCGGGATCTACTGGCGTGAGTAGGGGGGGATGTGACAGGTGAGATGGACAATAATTGGGAGGAAGAAGGGGGGGTTGGGCTGTATGCTGCGTGCTGCGTGCTGTGTGCTATCTATGTGCTGTGTGTGTATGATAGGGAATTCAGAGTTAAATTCTTGCTTGCTCTGCTCTGCTCTGCTCTGCTCTGCTTGCTGTTGCACGTACAATCCACCCACCCATCACCCCCCTCCGACTGCCAGCTACACTTGACCCCCTGGAACTGGCTGGCTGGCTGGCTGTTCTGTTTTGTTTTGTTTTGTTTTGTTCTGTTCTGTTCTGTTCTGTTCTGTTCGGTCCTCTTTTGTTCTGTCCTCTTTTGTTCTGTCCTCTTTTGTTCGGTCGACGACCAGAGAGCAGCAGCGTCCGTGTTGAAACTTTGCATCGTTAAATTTTNTTTT